TGCTTTTGCGCAATACTGTGCAATTGAAGATTTCTTGCTATTGCGCAATACTGTGCAATTGAAGATTTCTTGCTATTGTGCAATATTGTGCAATTGAAAATTTCTTGCTATTGCACAATACTTATAATAATTTACACATCCATTTTGGTGTGTATCTCCTACCATATCATTATTATTTGCTTTTAAATATAAATCAGAAATAACCAACTTAAAATGGAAAATTTTAAAAGAAAAAAGAAAAGAAAAAAAGAAAAAAATGAAAAAAAAAACCAAAAAAAACCCCAAATTTTTTGAACCCCCTTATGATTCATCACCCCCAAACTCAATCCCAGCCTTCCCTTTGTGGTATGGTACCTTGCAGTACAATTTCAGAGAGATCCATACACTTGAACACAAGTTATTGTCTGGAAACTAGAAAAATGTGTTTTTTGGCCCCTTTTTGGCCCCAAATTCCTAAAATATTGAGGCAATTACCCCCATCATCAATCCCAGCCTTCCCTTTGTGGTATGGTACCTTGCAGTACAATTTCAGAGAGATCCATACACTTACACACAAGTTATTGTCCTAAAACTATAAAAATGCTTGTTTTTTTGCCCCTTTTTGGCCCCTTATTCCTAAAATATTGAGGCAATTACCCCCATCATCAATCCCAGCCTTCCCTTTGTGGTATGGTACCTTGCAGTACAATTTCAGAGAGATCCATACACTTGAACACTAGTTATTGTCTGGAAACTAGAAAAATGCTTATTTTTTGCCCCTTTTTGGCCCCCAATTCCTAAATGTTTCGGCAATTACCCCCAAACTCAATTCCAGCTTTCCCTTTATGATATGGAAACTTGTAGTACAATTTCAGAAAGATCCATACACTTACACACAAGTTATTGTCATGAAACTAGAAAAATGCTTGTTTTTTGCCCCTTTTTTGGCCCCTAATTCCTAAAATTTTGAGGCAATTACCCCCAAAATCAATCCCAGCATTCCTTTTGTGATATGGAACCTTGTGGTACAATGTCAGAGAGATCCATACACTAACACACAAGTTATGTCTGGAAGTTACAAAAATGCTTATTTTTGGCCCCTAATTCCTTTACTGTTGGTACCATAACCCCCAAAATCAATCCCAACCTTCCTTTTGTGGTATTGAACCTTGTGGTAAAATTTCATAGAGATCCATTCACTTAAACTAAAGTTAGAGTGCGAAAACCAATGTGTCTTCGGACGACGACGACGACGCCAACGTCATACCAATATACGACCACAAAATTTTTTTTGCGGTCGTATAAAAATTAATTGACAGCTAATCACCTTAAGACAATACAACATCTTTATACATAATTTAAAAGTAATGTAAGGGAGGTAATCCAATTTTTTTTTTTTAATACTTTAAATGTATTTGGAGTACCTCTCTTACACTGCTTTTAAATTGTCCATTAACCAGGAAACCCTTGTATTTCCCCCTAATTCCTAAACGGTTTGAGCTATAACCCCCCAAAGTCAATCCTAACCATCCCTTTGTGGTATGGAAACTTGTGGTATAATTTCAGAGAGATTCATACACCCTTCCACAAGTTATTGTCTGGAAACTGGAAAAATGCTTATTTGGGCCCCTAATTCCTTAACTGTTGGTACCATAACCCCCAAAATCAATCCCAACCTTCCTTTTGTGGTATTGAACCTTATGGTAAAATTTCATAGAGATCCATTCACTTAAACTAAAGTTATTGTGCGAAAAACCAATGTGTCTTCAGACGTCGACAACGATGCCAACGTTATACCAATATACGACCGCAAACATTTTTTGCGGTCGTATAAAAGTCATGCATCTAAGACTAAATTAAAACAAGTTTTCATCATATTATATAACCGCCTCTGCTGGTCGATCTGCTTTTACGAGATCTGCGCCCATTAAAATTTATTCATCAATATTATATCAAAATTTAAATTTTGCTCTCTGCTCTCTTATCAAGATTTGAAAACGTTTTGACAACAAACTACCAAAAATTAAAGTTGCCTAAATTGGTGAGGCCAAAAAAAAATATATGTCTGTTTAAGATTACATACTTTAATAAAATGCTCCGCAGGGCGCAGCTTGATACGACCGCAGAGGTCGAACCCTGAACAGTTGGGGCAAGTATGGACACAACATTCAAGCTTGATACAGCTTTGCATTTGGATTGTGATTAAATATTTGACACAGCATAGGTTTCTGACACAGAATGAATGTGGTCTAAGAACTTAAAAATTTTAAATTGGACATTCACCTATTATGGTCCAATATCCAAAATCTAAATACATGGTTAGATTCAGCATATCAAAGAACCCCAAGAATTCAATTTTTGATGAAATCAAACAAAGTTTAATTTTGGACCCTTTTGACCTCAATGTGGACAAAGTTGATAACGGGGCCCAAAAATCAAAAATCTAAATACATGGTTAGATTCAGCATATCAAAGAACCCCATATATTCAATTTTTGTTGAAATCAAACAAAGTTTAATTTTGGACCCCGATTTGGACCAACTGGAAAACTGGGCCCATCATCAAAAATCTAAATACATGTTTAGATTCAGCATATCAAAGAACCCTAAGAATTCAATTTTTGTTAAAATCAAACTAAGTTTAATTTTGGACCCTTTGGACCTTAATGTAGACAAATTTGAAAACAGAACCAAAAATTAAGAATCTAAATACACAGTTAGATTCGGCATATCAAAGAACCTCAATAATTCAATTTTTGATGAAATCAAACAAAGTTTAATTTTGGACCCTTTGGACCTCAATGTGGACCAATTTAAAAACGGGGCCCAAAATCCAAAAACTAAATACACGGTTAGATTCAGCATATTAAAGAACCCCAAAAATTCAAGAATAAAACCCCATTGAAATTGGTCAAGAAATAAGCAATTTATACGAAGTATCTTCTTTTGCACAATACTGTGCAATTAAATATTTCTTGCTATTGCGCAATACTGTACAATTGACAATTTCTTGCTATTGCGCAATATTGTGCTATTGGATATTTCTTGCTATTGTGCAATACTGTGCAATTGAAGATTTCTTGCTATTGCGCAATACTGTGCAATTGAAGATTTCTTGCTATTGTACAATACTGTGCAATTGAAAATTTCTTGCTATTGCACAATACTTATTATATAATAATTTACACATCCTGTTTGGTGTGTATCTCCTACCATATCATTATCATTTGCTTTTAAATATAAATCAGAAATAACCAACTTAAAATGGAAAATTTTAAAAGAAAAAAAAAAGGAAAAAAAAAAAATCCCCCGCCCCCCCAAATTTTTTGAACCCCCTTATGATTCATCACCCCGAAACTTAATCCCAGCCTTCCCTTTGTGGTATGGTACCTTGCAGTACAATTTCAGAGAGATCCATACACTTGAACACAAGTTATTGTCTGGAAACTAGAAAAATGTGTTTTTTGGCCCCTTTTTGGCCCCAAATTCCTAAACGTTTAGGGCAATTACCCCCAAACTCAAACCCAGCTTTCCCTTTGTGATATGGAACCTTGTAGTACAATTTCAGAAAGATCCATACACTAACACACAAGTTATTGTCCTGAAACTAGAAAAATGCTTGTTTTTTGCCCCTTTTTGGCCCCTAATTTATAAAATATTGAGGCAATTACCCCCATCATCAATCCCAGCCTTCCCTTTGTGGTATGGTACCTTGCAGTACAATTTCAGAGAGATCCATACACTTGAACACAAGTTATTGTCTGGAAACTAGAAAAATGCTTATTTTTGGCCCCTTTTTGGCCCCCAATTCCTTAACGTTTCGGCAATTACCCCCAAACTCAATTCCAACTTTCCCTTTGTGATATGGAACCTTGTAGTATAATTTCAGAAAGATCCATACACTTACACACAAGTTATTGTCATGAAACTAGAAAAATGCTTGTTTTTTGCCCCTTTTTTGGCCCCTAATTCCTAAAATTTTGAGGCAATTACCCCCAAAATCAATACCAGCATTCCTTTTGTGATATGGAACCTTGTGGTACAATGTCAGAGAGATCCATACACTAACACACAAGTTATGTCTGGAAGTTACAAAAATGCTTATTTTTGGCCCCTTTTTGGCCCCTAATTCCTTTACTGTTGGTACCATAACCCCCAAAATCAATCCCCACCTTCCTTTTGTGGTATGGAACCTTGTGGTAAAATTTCATAGAGATCCATTCACTTAAACTAAAGTTAGAGTGCGAAAACCAATGTGTCTCTAAACTATATAATAGAATCATCCCTGGAAAAAGATACACTGTACTAATCTAAGACGTGTAAATGCACATGATGTAAGAGTACTCACAGTAACTAAAATCTAGTGAATAAAAAAACTGTGTTCTACTGGACATGTGCTGGACAGTTACAAATGTATCTGGTTATGTTAATTTACAGCCTTGCCTTTAGAGACTTTTACAAAAAGCTAAAAGTCTATCATCACCAATCAAAGATTTAAAAGCTTACAGCCTATATTTTAAAAGACCAATTTGATACCTCATGTCCGGTCCTTATAATCAATTGTCATGATTGTCTTTAAAACAGGGTGCAGAAGTTTCTTATTACTGCGATAAAAACTTTTTTTCTGGAATATTAAACCAAAGTGGTATGAGGCGAAAAGTCTAGAAAGCATGCACGTTTCTTCTATATAAGACTCCTCAGATTAGTGGTTCACGAATCGAAACAGTTTGGATATGAAAATCAAATTCTGCTGCAGCCTGCAGGTATAATTTAGCTGTTTAGACTTAGGAGGGCTAGCTGCTAAAACGTAGCTCTTAAGGTCCTTTTGATGATTTTGATATTTGCGGACCATAATTCAAAGGACAATAGAGCTACGTTTTCGCAGCTAGCCTATAGGAGGGCATGAAAGCAAAAATTGAAATATCCTTCCAATTGTCAACTTGTATTTATTATTTATTAAAGACCTGCCTAGACCTAAAAATTTGTGTGAAATTTAGTCGGGTGCTATAATAACGTATATACCTTTGTTTAAATATACCTTTTCTTCGTTATAAAAACTGTCACTTAGATTTCTTCCCCACGTGTTGAACGTAAACTTCCGGTTGGAAGATATATCTAAATTAAGTATGCTACACATACATTTTTTTGTACTCATCCCAACGCTATTAACACTGGAATATAAAACTAATCTAATAATTTTATTTGCATTTTTTGTGTAATATTAGATAAGCCACATCGGTTAAGAATTGTAGCTTTCATAATTATTAGAACCAATGATGTGTATACTTGTTATCACCGAATCCAGTTTTTATCAACACACTTTACAGACGATCTGTTATCTAAAGATGTTAAAGATGCTAATGCATTAAGAAGCTACCGAAGATGTCAATACCTTTTACGCGAAAGTTGAATAACATGAAGATTTACTAAATATTACTCTTTTCAAATCTTAATGTAGTGGCACATGTCATACACTCACTGGTAACATTGTTATATATATATATAATATTATTATGTCACAGCTAGGATTTGTCTAGTAAAAATCCTTGGTCACAGGCATTTGGAAGATCCACTATCATTAGGGACAGTTCAAAATTTACCAGATGGATGGGCCGGTGCATTCTTAATATTATATCATTAAAAAAGTTAATGCCCATCCTTTTAAATTCTGCAAAAAAGTCCTTGCCCATATAAAAAAAATATAAAAAGAGTCCTTGCCCCTCTAAAACTTAAAGACAATCAAAAATGATTTAGGTTCTTTTTCTATTTTAATATTTGCATGTTTATGTCTGGAAATCAAAGAATAGACTTTGGTGTATAAATACAAAATTCAAAATGTGCTAGTTAATTCCATATATATATATATCATGTATATATGTGTGTGTGTGTATCAGAAACATACCTTTTATTAATTTTAAAACCAGTACTTATGATGAATATACATGTATAGATTTGATTTTATATGTGCAGCCTCAGATACTGTATCACAACTGGGAACAGTATATCTAACGGGAAATGAATCTGATACGCTTTTCAGTATAAAATTGATAAAATCTCGGACTCCCCGAGACTTCCCTAGATTTACGGATTTTGGTAGCGTTTGACTGAAAAACTATCAGAACTGCTCAACAAATAAACCACATAACTCTAATTATAAATAAATACAAGTTTTATCATTTAGTAGATATATTTTGTCATATAAAATTACCAAAATAAGTTTGATTTATTTGATGTGAAGTGTTTTATAATAGTTTGGGAATTTGTAAATCATCGCGGGAATGGCTGCCATTTTTTTATTACCTGGTTTGCATTCTGCACAATTCTGTGATGAAATGCTTGCGATTTTAACAAATTTGAAGTGACAGAATACAAGTTTGATACACTAGCATCACTATAAAACTAGTTTGAATGACATTTTATTTATAATATCAGAAATTATTAGGCTAATAGCGAGTCCGTTTCTGTATCGTATCTTTATTAACTATGGCACGACGATAAAATCGACCACAATCAGGTTGTGTCAAGTCCCGTCAATATATATGTTCCTGATCACAATTAAATCTCAAGACATAAGTAAAAGCATACTATATCAGCCAGCCTTTCATAGAGGCTTAAGAAGTGCTAACAATATTCATGCAAGTCATAAAACATATAAAGAAATATTAACCATACTACTAAATGTACTTAGTTTATATTTTTCTGAAATCTGAGGTCATCTTTAAATTTGGAACAGTTTTAATATATCTCTTCTTACATCTTTTTTCTATTAAATAATTGAGGGTCACCACTTTTTCCCCCTTTTGTGACCACAGGACATAAAGATTTATTCAAACTATTGTTAACAATCAAAAAAATATTAACTAACTATCCAATTTGTATACAATTTTCAAAATACCATATTAATTTAAAATAAAGGGAATAACTTAAATTAAGGGACAATAACTCTTAGACTAGTAAACATATTACCATATGCTGAATTACCAATTATTGTCTTAATAATAGAGTATGCTTATATTTCAAATATACAATGTCCCCTTTATCTATCTACTTTTCAAGAAAGAAATTATAGTCTTTCTAAAGCAATTTAGGCAGATATGTTTTTGACTTTGATGCAGCTTTTTTTTTACCTATTAATTAAATCCCAAAGGCGGATTTACGGGGGGGGGGGGGGGGGGGGGGGGGGGGGGGGAAATTTAGTTGCTTATATAGGAAATCACTGAAGCATGACTGGAGCGGGCCCCCTCTTAGGCAGTCAGTGGGCCCTTCTTATGAAAATTTCTGGATCCGCCACTGAATCCCTAAATTTGTCAGCAATACATGTACACCAAATTACCAAACAACCTGGCATTCTGTAAGATCAATATATAAATGAGATGTCTGCTGAGTTTTATGAAAATCAAAGTTGATTTGGAAACGTTACACCAATTTTTGAAGATGACTATCTGAATTTAGCCTAAACTGAAAATTGTAGCTTCTTTTACCTATTAACTAAATCCTTAAAAATTACAACAATAAACCAAAGTACCAAACAACCTGGTATTCTGTAATATTAATATGTTAATGAGATAGTTGTAGAGCTATATAAAAATCCAAGTTGATTTGAAAACTTTATACCAATTTTTAAAGATGACTATCTGAATTTAGTCTAAATTGAACATTTAGGCTTTTTTAACCTATTTATTAAATCCATAAAAATGACAGCAATACACCAAAACTACAAAACAACCTGGCTTTCTGTAAGATCAACATATAATGAGATAGGTGTAGAGTTTTATGAAAATCCAAGTTGAATTGAAAAAGTTATAAAAAATTTTAAAGGTGACTATCTGAATTTAGCCTAAACTGAAAATTTTAGCTTTTTTTTCTCACTTGTTAATAAAATCCATAAATTTGACAGCAATTCACCAAACTATCAAACAACCTCGTATTCTATAAGGTCAGAATACAATTGATATGAAAATCAATATATATATAAACTTTTAAAAGTGACTATCTGAAATTTGTCGGAATAGAAAATTCTAGCTTTTGTATTCTTTAATTAAATCCTTAAAATTGACAGAAATGAACCAAGCTACCAGTTTGTTGAGACCATGTCTTTTATGTTTTTTGTGTCTGCAAAAGAAATTTCCTACAAACCGATAAAATTGATAGCAAAAATTTTTCCTATAAAATAAGTTCTGGCCCATCCACTATACATGTAAAAAAAAGTTCTCGCCCATCCAAATATTTCCACAAAAAAGTGCTTGCCCCGCCCCATTTTGCACCGGCACATCCATCTGATAAATATTGAACGGTCCCTTATCAACGTATATAATAGAAACAAGTGCCTGTGTATTATGGGGTACAAAATAAATCGGCACCTATAGAAAAAGTCAAATCGGCACCTGGTTTAATCTGCATCTGGTCAAATTGGCATCTGATAATATTTGATATAATATATATATCGTCAATGATTGCAAGTTCGTTATGCTTGCAAGTTCGTGACATTTGGGGATTTCCAGTTTATTTGTGACGTCATACATAAGTATCTATCATCGGCAATGTGCTACTTCAAAATATGTATAAATGATTTTTAATTATTTAAAAAAAATTTTGGGGTTGGATTTTATTTTATTCATTACATCATTAAAAATCATCACGTTATTAAGCAGTTATGGAGCTTCCATTTGATTTTTATGGGGGCTAGGATGAAATTTGAAAAAAAGCAGGACAGGAGTTTTGAGTAAAAAAAAAGGCAGGATGAGCAACTTGGCAACAAAAAAAAAAAACAGGATGACAATTTATGTAAAAAAAAGTCATGATAAACTAATGAAAAAAAAGGCAGGACCGAATAGAGTGAAAAATAAAAAGGCAGGACAGAGATTACAACTAAAAAAAAAATGCAGGACAAAATTTTTCATCCTAGCCCCCATAAAAATCAAATGGTAGCTCCTTTTAAATGCATGTATGTCCTGGTGTTTTCAGACACATTACAGGAATACAAAGATGTCAAAAAGAAAAAAAATCCTGAATTTTACACCGAAATCAGTAAAAGCTTCAATACCTGGCCAGACATTAGAGACAAAAAGAACTTTCTGTTTAGCGAAAGTAGAAGAGATGACCTGCAAGAACTATGCTAGAAATACAACTTAGTGATTATAATATAAAATTAAGGGTGAGATAAGCCTAACACTCCCCCCCCCCCCCCCAAAAAAAAAAAAAATTTTTATGACTGTTTGTTTTATCCATATACAGATAGTTATTGATGTTATTTCTTCAAAAACTTAAATAAAAAAAACAATGAAGCCATTACCCAAGCTGTTGCTTAATCATGAAAAAAATAGAAGCAATAAAGGTAGTATTTCAGGAATGTTTAAACAGCATTAAACCAGTTTAAGAAATAAATTAGTTAGAGAGTTACATCTGATAATAATAAAAATAAACAAAAATAAGCGACACAATATGTAATCATAAAACTCACAACCAAAGTAAAAAAAAAACAAAATAAACATTAAGTACTTTTTTTTTTTAAGTAAAATTAGGAACATATAAAGATATAGGGAACAATTTCCAACAGGAAAGCCGCCGACTAAAAAACCCACAGTCACATTAAACCAACAATCATGCTAAATGCTCAACTGGTTAAAACATGCATAACAAATATCAATTACCTTGAATACACAGTTGAACTAAAAAAAGACATAGACCCCCCCCCTCCCCAAAAAAAAAAAATGTTAATAAGTCAATATTTCTGCTGGACAACCCCTTCTTTATTTTAATGTTTTGCTTAAAATACTGAAAAAAGATATATAATCAACATGGGTGCCGAAATGACTATATCGGTGCCGATTTAACAAGGTGCCAATTTGACTATACTGGGTGCCGATTTGACCAGGTGGCAATTTGACTCAAGAATTGTATTATGTCCCAGGACTAGTAGGATACCACAAATATAGTATATAATCTGATAATATAATTTTTCATGTTGTTGCGATCAACATCATTAGAGACACATGTATATAAATTATTATTTACCTACACTGTTAAATTGAAGGTTATAAAATTTTGTACATTGCCATGGGCTGGTCAAAAGCAGTATTAATATTCTTGTAGGAGAAAAAATTATTAATTGTTGTTAATAGATGCAACCATTTTAATAGTCCTATAACATATGACTTCACATTCTTATTCAATTTTTAATGTTTTTATACTGATATTTTCTTCTTTTTTTAATGCTCGAATGGCACATTGATTATGTTGATAGTAAAAAAAAAAATAAAAAAAATAGCAAAATAACATGAATAAATAAAAAAGAAAATATCAGAAATAAACAGAAATAGAAAATAATGCTTTTGAGGTCATATGTTATAAGACTACCATTTTAACAGAGAACAAAACTGTGAATAATGTTGTGCTGTTGCACCACCGTCCAAGGTAGGGGAGGGTTGAATGCTCACAATATAAAAAAGAAGATGTGGTATGATTGCCAATGAGACAACTCTTCACAAGAGACCAAATGACACAGAAATTAACAACTATAGTTCACCATATGGCCTTCAACAATGAGCAAAGCCCATACCGCATAGTCAGCTACAAAAGGCCCCGAAATGACAAATGTTAAACAATTCAAATGAGAAAACTAACAGCCTAATTTATGTACAAAATAGTGAATGACAAACAAATATGCCGTTATATGTTATATGTTACACAGCAAAAAACGACAACCACTGAATTACTGGTTCCTGACTTGGGACAGGCACATACAGAATGTGGCGGGGTTAAAGTAGGTTGAAGGCGCCAACCCTACCCTTACAGTGGTGTAACAGTACAACATAAGAACAAACTATAAAAATCAGTTGAAAAAGGCTTAACCCATCAGACATGTCAGATAGATACAAATAGAAATACATATAACAAAAACACAGAGTGGACGTGGCTGGGTACTTGTACATCACAACAACAAAAAGACACTAAGTACAGATCTGAGAGTACTCGCAGTTACTGACAGCTAGTTCAAAACCAATAACAACTAATAAAAAAAAAATCATGCATCCAAGACTAAGTTAAAACAAGTTTTCATCATATTATATAACCGGCTCTGCTGGGCAATCTGCTTTTAAGAGATCAGCGCCCATTAAAATTTATTCATCAATGTTATATCAAAATTTAAATTTTGCTCTCTGCCGAGGTCTGCTTTAATGAGATCCATTTTGACAAAAAGCATCTTTTTTATCGACCTGCTGGGTGATCTGCTTTTACGAGATCAAAAACACCCATAACATTTTCATCACTATTGAATCCAGCTGCTAAAATCGTTTACCACAAAAGTCATGTTGACATAATTATGATAATTAAATCGTTGTTAATAAAATGCAATCGTTGACAGCATACTCACAGTTGCTGAAAGCTAGTTCAAAGCCAATAACAACTAATAAAAAAAAAAAAATCATGCATCTAAGACTCAATTATCAATCAGTACACATCTAACATCCAATGGATTTAGTGTAATGACGTCATAAACAATCAGAGAAAAACATGACCTTGTGCAATGCCAAGATACAGGTATCAACAGGTTGTAGAGCCATGAATGTGCATATATATGTATATTACAATAATATTTAGTTTGCTTTTAATTTACTGATAACAAAATCAATATTGATATCAATAAAAACAATATTCAAAGATCTAATTACAGTGTTGAATTGGTAACCTTTTAGAATAAGTTTATTTAAAGGATCTATAAGTTAAAAAAAAACTGTTTATCAGGATCTTTTCTAAATTTCTGGGCACGGTAAACAACATCTCCATAAAAATGAGGATGTGCTATCCCATTTGCAATAAGTTTTCCAGGTATAACCAAACTTCAAAACCAAATCTTTATATCTATGGAAGAATTTAGTAAAGGTTTAAAGTAATTTGTGGTAACGAAATCCCTGACATGTTTAACCCTGCAACATTCTATTATATATATATGCCTGTCCTAACTCAGTGGTTGTTGTTGGTTGCTATCTGTCATATTTTTCATTCGTTTATTATTTTGTCATAAATCAGGCTGTTAGTTTTTTGGTTTGAATTGTTTTTCATCTTGTGAAGTTGGGCACTTTTATAACTGACTTTATGGAATGAGAGGTTTTTATTGTTGAGGGCTATATGGTGACCTATAGTTGCTTCAACCCATGCCCTTCAGTTGATAGTTGTTTCATTGGCAATCATACCACAACTTCTTATTTTATACAGCTAGAGCTAGCTTTCATCATGTTTAGGGGCATTTGTTTATCTATATTATGGTATATTTATTTTTTAAACATGGTGGTTGAACAATTGATTAGTTATCATATTTATTTTTCCTACTGTAGCAACTTTGTAAAATTATATTTCTAATCTGATATTGGTTCTGGTGTTTTAGAACTAACTGTTCTGCCAAAATATGCATTTATGATATGATGATATTTAGCCTATATATAGATCACTAGTTTGGTAGCCAATAAGGTTGTTTGAATGTATCAAAAAAAACATCGGATTTTGTTTTGTAACATTTTCTATCCTCTGTTTAGGTATCTTGAATGTAAATGCTGTTTTTATGACTGTAATGATGTCAGTAAGGACACTATGTAGACACCAAGTCAAAAAAGTAATGCACAGGACCTATGAGTCACAGACCAATGGAAAGTCAGATGGTGTGCTTGATTATTATGTAAAATTGCGAGATATTCTTACCAACAAGGAAACTCTGGTTGATCATTTGCGTCAAAATGTTTTATTCGAGGATGGTAAGTTATCTAATAATCATGTGATAATTATGCAAACAAGTGAATTTGTTGATCAAGAATAAGATGAAGTTTAGTACAATTTTTTTTTAAATTTTAAAATTTAAAATTTCCTTTTTTTCACCTTGGTATATATATATTTATGTATATAAGTATTGTACATTGTTTACCATGCATGGACAATATTAAGATGGAACTTAGATACATCATGATCACATGAAGTTTTTGTAACTGTATAGTCTTATAGAATGTATTTTATTTGTACAATTAATTTATTTTCAAAGTTCTTGAAATTTTATAATAGAATTGAATGCTGTTATGTTTTTCTATTACGGAATGAATGCAATTGATGATCATGTTTTGCATGAAACCCTGATATATGAATAAAAAGAAATGTGAGGTATAAGTCTATGAGTATGAGGCATCACCAAAAAAAACATATAAAATTGAGAATGGAAATGGGGAATATGTCAAAGAGACAACAACCCGACCAAATATGTCTATTTAACATTTAACCCACATCTGTTATTCATATATCCTAGAAAATTTGTAAGGGAGAACATTTGAAAGATAGAAAAAATCGCATTTTGAAGCATGATGTATAATATAAAATTACAAGTATTTGGGCTCCCGATACAGAAAGAAGACACTTAACAACATAGTACTTTCTAGTAAAAATGAGTATGTCTCTCAAAAGAAAATAACCATGAAAATACAAATTCATTACTAATTACGTAAAAACATGAAAAAGAAGAGCAATCTTTTTACAAATTGTAAAGATAAGTAAGAAAATCCATAATATTTACATTTATGTGATTGATTCAACATTTAGTACATGTATAAAACAAACTACATCTGGCTTGAATCACAAGTAGCTCCAAAAAAATTGTCATGTAATAATATCATGATGTAAACAATATTCCTCAGTATTATTTTTGTTGTCTTTTTAATAAATGTTTTTCAGACCATTTGGTTGCTATTAACAAGCCAGCTGGATTGCCTATGAAAGGTAAGGTTTAGTAAAACAGTTCACATACAAACACTTTTCTGGTAGAAAGTGCCAACATGTAGATAGCACAATGATTAGTTTTTAAAAGTAATGGATTCATATAAACCAAACAAATATAAAGACTTGACAGTTTTGTCAATTCTAGTGTACATAGGGTTGCCTATAATTGCTTACATCCACTTCATTTGAACTTTGGTGGATAGTTTTCTCATTGGCAACCAAACTACGTCTTTTTATTTTTATATTAATAGGATTTAGTTTTACCAATTATGGACAGATTTTTCTCATATGTAACCTAATCACAGAACATTTTGCAGATGTCTACTAGTGATGGTGTGTGAAACCCTATATTTTTGTCAATTTTCACTTTTTTTGCCATCATTAAAGAAGTTTATTGCAGATTGTATAGTAACATGGTTACCTTTTGTTCCGTTTCAAGTTCTTTAATTAAATCTTTTTGTCCCTTTTCAATTTTTTCTTGAAAAGAAAGACGGTTTTTAATTTTGAAAAATGTTATGATATTGGGATTAGAAATACACTAAAGAAATACAGGAATATTGGAAAATCACTGTAGAACAGGATTAACTGATGGTAAGTTTTTTTTACTTTTTCAGCTGAAAAGACATCACAGATGGATGCACGTTTAATAGACAATTTTTCCCTGTATCAAGTTATTGAAGATTTACGTCACCATTTTAATTCCCCTGACATGAACCTAGCTTTGCCACTTCCAAGGTATGTGTAAAAGTATAAGATCACTTGAAAAAAAACTCAAGAAAATATATCTACTTTGTTTACCTCTTACTGAAATTGTATGAAACTTCTAATGTTCTGTTATTTATATTGTAGATGAAAAAAGTTAAATTTTATTATTATACTTTACCAAAGTAACCAGTTATAAAATAAGAAAGGTATAACAGCAAAAATAGTATCTTTCACCTGCAGCAAAGTGCAAATATGAACAGAGTTTTTTTTAGCTCCATTTTGAAGACCTCACTGTGATTTTGAGATGAAGAACAGCAATAAAAGCGCTGTTCCTTTACTTTTTGTGTGGTTTTTTTTGTTGTTGCTGTGCATGTATTGATTTTTTTTTCATGGATGGATACCCCATATCCTTTGTTTTTCTATTATATTATAATTTTTGTTGAGCCTGCAACTTTTGTCGCAGAAAGCTCGAAATAGGGATAGTGATCCGGCGGCTGCGGCAGCGGCGTTAACTAACTTCTTTATATCTTACCGGTAATATTTCTGAAGGTAGAAGACCTGGATGCTTCATACTTTGTATATAGATGCCTCATGATATGAAGTTTCCGTCTGTCATGTGTCCATTGTCCTTGACCTCATTTTCATGGTTTAGTGACTACTTGAAAAAAAAGTTTTTGTAATGTTAATTTCTCTCTTATTATGAGTAATAGGATAACTATATTTGGTATGTGCGTACCTTGCTCGGTCCTTATGTCTGTCAGTCAGTTTTCACTTGACCTCCACCTCTTTTCATGGATCAGTGAACAAGGTTAAGTTTTCGTGGTCAAGTCCATATCTCAGATACTATAAGTAATAGGTCTACTATATTTGGTGTATGTAATGATTGTAAGGTGTACATGTCCAACTGGCAGGTGTCATCTGACGACCTCATTTTCACGGTTCATTGCTCAATGTTAAGTTTTTGTGTTTTGGTCTTATTTTCTAATACTGTATGCAGTAGGTCAACTATATTTGGTGTATGGAAATATTTTACGATGTACATGTCAGTCTGGCAGGTTTTATTGGACCTTGACCTCATTTTAGTGGTTAATTGCTTGTGTTAAGTTTTTGTGTTTTGGTCTGTTTTTCTTAAACTTTAAGCAACAGGTCAACTATATTTGGTGTATGGAATGATTGTAAGGTGTATATGTCTGTCTGGCAGGTATCATCTGACCTTCACCACATTTTCATGGTTTATTGGTCAATGTTCAGTTTTCCTGGTTAACTTTGTTTCTTAGATACTATAAGCAATAGGTCAACTATGTTTGATGCATGGAATGATTTTAAGGTGTACATGTCTGTCTAGCAGGGTTCATCTGACCTTGACTTCATTTTCATGGTTCATTGGTCAATATAGAATTTCCATTGTTTGGTCTGTTTCTTTTATACTAGAAGCAATAGGTCATCTATATTCTGTGTATGGAATGATTGTATTAAAGCTGTACATGTATTTCCGCCTTGGTTTATCTGACCTTGACCTCATTTCCTTGGATCATAAATGTTAATGTGATACTTGAAGTAAAACTTTATATGTAGGACTATCAACATAAAATCAATGGTCAGTATAGTAGGCGAGACATTTCAGCATGTGCACTCTTGTTTAATTTGGCATGCTTTTGAACGTGTACAGAATAACTATTTGTTGTGGAATGAGGCCACAAATTTTGATTGAAGTTTCAATTTAGACATAAAAAATATTCTACAACAAAAAGACTAAAAACACAATACATGCAACAAAAGTAGCATTACCTTATATTTAGCTCTGTCTAATATAAAACATGTATGCCTTATATCAAAAGTTGACATCACAATCTTTAAAATTGGACAAGCTTAGAATCATGTGCATAACAGTGTAGACGAGACCATTGATTGGCACGCTAAAATATCCCATTGACTGTGTCAGATTAGGTGAACGTTCGTCTGTAACGCCCACTGCTCACGACGTATTTATTATAGACATTTAAACTGTGGGGTCACCAAAGGGTCTCAATGCCTAAATAAAATAATTCGAAAAACTAATCAGGAATAACCTTTGTGTTTTGATTTATATTGAATACTTAAACGTTCTTTACTTGTGTTTTTGTTATGTTTTGATAATCAATTTTTATGATATCGCACGTTCTTTCAGCAAAAAAAAAAAGGATTTAACTGGCTTTAAAAGTTACAATGCATGTGTTGATTATTATCTTTTTTCAGACGTCAAAGCTATTTAACAATATACAATTATGGCCCGTTGAAAAGGTGAATATCCAAAATTGTTAACACGAGAAGGTTATTTCACTGAGGGCGCAGCCCAAAGTGAAATAACTTTTAAGGGTTGACAATTTTGGATATTCATCGCTTTTAAAGGGCCACAATTGTTTTATTATACCGAACTAACAGTGGAAGGGCATTTTGAATCATTGTAAAAGCACTTACCCCTACTTGAGTCAGTAACAAACACAAGTTGACGTTCAAAAATACATGTAACTTGTGTCTTAGAATTCTTGTATGTACAACAAAGGTAGATTCTTTTTGTAAAATATTGATGGCCCTGAAAAGGACCGTTATTAGAGATATCATCGGCACAAGCTGCACATCAAAAGCCTTATTTCCTCTTCTCTCGATCAATGGGCTTCCTGTAACTTGAACGTTGCCATTTTGTTTATTTACGTCTGTGACGTCATTTTCATGAGTACAAATCAACAAACTAAAAAGGTTATTCGCCGGTGAATAATAGGATTATTCAACGCTGGTGTTAATTTTTAGGGTTATTCGTTCTTCCTTGCAATTGAATGAAAATTAACTGAATTATTCCATGTCACGTGATAACGTTTTACCCAATAGAATTGTTTGAAATATATGTAAGGTATAATAATTGCGGTTGTCCAATTATGTCATCTTTAAACTTTTATCTGGTCAAAATTTTATTTTAGAACGAATGCATGATCAACTTTAAAAAGTGTGCAAATACAAAACATATAGACAAAATATACTTCTGTCCTGTCTTTTTCGTACTTGCAAGTTATTAGACAGTAAAAAAGCTATTTGGATCAAGCCTTGTGAAATTTGCATTTACGTTATTGAATAGGTAAAATGTATAGTTTGATGAACTTTTCTTTCTTTTTTTTTTAAATCGACCCAATTTACATAGTAATGGACGACTTCGTACATTTTATGATCGCAAATAAAATATGTATATAATATACTGTGCACTGTAGTTCGTATATTCATTTTTTCTTTTGTTAATGGATTTGCCCGTCTTTCTGGGAGTGATTATTTGTTATTGACTCCTTAAGCTTACTCGCAAATAATTTAAAACCAAGACTTCCATTATAAAACTGTCCAAACAAACCTTGATTTTCCTTTTTTTTAAACATAGATAAGGACTTAAATTCGTCAGGTCTTTAATTTCAAGTTAGTGAGTTGACCAAAGTAATATTGAGGACCATTTGCCAGTTTCCATGCGGTATCCGTGTTTTTTCTCTCGCTCTGTTCTGCATCCACTCAACTTTCGTGTTTGTCGTGACAAGGCCATTTGAAGCTTTCATGCTATACAGTGTGTGTTTTGCTTATTGTTGAAGGTCGTACTTTGACCTATATTGCTAACGTCTGTTGGTCACTGGAATGGATTTGTCTGTCTATCACACCACATATTCTTATTTATATATGCAGTAATATCTATAATAAAATTGAGAGTTGAAACGGGGAATGTGTCAAAGAGACATCAACCCGACCAAAGAGCAGAAAATTTGTTTTTCGTTAATTGTTTTGTTGTAGATTAGGCCGTTGGTTTTCTCAATTGAATTGTTTCATATTTTTCATGTCGGGGACTGTTGTAGCCGACTATACGGTATGGGTTTTTCTAATTGTTGAAGGCCGTACAGTTGCCTATAATTCCTTACATCCACTTCATTTGAACTTTGGTGGATAGTTGTCTTATTAGCACATCTTATTTTTATATAAAGTTGTATCAATTGTGACTTTAGATACATTGGTGTATTGATTTTGGTTGCGTTACGTCTAGTGTCAAATTTGTCAATAACACTTCCCTGCAAAATTTGTTATCCAAAGGTCCAAAATATCGTGAGCCTAAATCCATCAATTGGAAATACAACTTCAAAATACTGATGGATTCAGTCGAGGATTATGCCAGGCAATGGGCTAAACGCGAGAAAGAAGACGTAGATACTCTTTCCAAATGGATTAAGGCTGTGAGGTCGTTGATACAAATCCGAATTAAGAAACTAAATGGGCATATCAATACCCACGCTACATCAATTTTTAAAGACCCAGATGTTGCAAAACACTTGTCCTACCTCCATGACAAATATGTTGTTGTCCCTGCAGATAAAGCCCCAAACAACATCGTTTTTGTGTGTAAATATCATTACATAAACTGCTTGATAAATGAATTAGGTATTGACTATTCACTTGGAAACTCAACATATACCCTCACGACACTTACCAAAGAGGAAATCCTGGATAATCATAGGTCTGTTCTATGTTCCTTTGGAATTTCAACCAAAGATGAAGAACTGGATCTTCCATCACTGTATTGGATACCTAAACTACATAAGTGTCCTCACAAACAACGGTATATTGCTGGGTCTTCCAAGTGCTTCAGGAAACCTCTTTCTAAATTATTAACATCTATTTTATCAGCAATCAAAGCCGGGCTCCAAAATTATTGTGAAACTGCCTATTCTAGAGGTGGCGTGAATCAGATGTGGATACTAAAAAATTCCAAAGATCTTTTAGAGTACATACAATCTAAGACTCTCTCATCTTGCAATAGTATTAAAACATTTGACTTTTCTACACTTTACACAAGTATTCCCCATTCCAAACTAAAAGACAAATTGAAAGAGTTGGTATTACTTTGTTTCATTAAAAAGAATGGCGAACGTAGATACAAGTATCTTGTCTTGGGGAGGGATAAATCCTACTTTGTAAAGAATCACTCTGATTCAAACAAAAAATTCTCTGAAACTGACATTATCAAGATGCTTGATTTCCTGATTGACAACATATTTGTTACGTTTGGAGGACGTGTTTTTTAACAGACTGTCGGAATTCCAATGGGAACCAATTGTGCCCCTCTTCTTGCCGACTTGTTTCTCTATTATTATGAGGCTGACTTCATACAGGAACTTCTTAGGAAGAAAGATAAGAAGTTAGCAATATCCTTTAACTCTACGTTCCGCTATATAGATGATGTTCTCTCACTAAATAATACAAAATTTGGTGACTATGTTGAACGAATCTATCCCATAGAACTAGAGATAAAGGATACTACAGATACAGTTAAGTCTGCCTCATATCTTGACTTACATCTAGAAATTGACAATGAGGGTCGGTTGAAAACAAAACTTTACGACAAAAGAGATGATTTCAGCTTCCCAATTGTGAACTTTCCATTTCTATGTAGCAACATTCCAGCAGCGCCTGCATACAGAGTATATATCTCCCAATTGATACGATATTCCTGGGCTTGTGTTTCCTATCATGATTTCCTTGATAGAGGATTGCTGCTCACAAGGAAGCTATTAAGCCAAGAGTTCCAAATGGTGAAGTTGAAATCATCCCTTCGTAAATTTTACGTACGCCATCACGAGTTGGTTGACCGTTATGGAATAACCGTTTCACAGATGATATCGGATATGTTCCTTATGTCGTAACTACAATACCCTTCCCTTTTCACGAATGTGACTTACCGAATTAGACTATATACCAGATTTGTAATAACATAAGCAACATGACGGGTGCCACATGTGGAGCAGGATCTGCTTACCCTTCCGGAGCACCGGAGATCACCCCCAGTTTTTGGTGGGGTTCATGTTGCTTAGTCTTTAGTTTTCTATGTTGTGTCATCTGTACTATTATTTGTCTGTTTGTCTTTTTATTTTTGGCCATGGCTTTGTCAGTTTGTTTTCGATCTATGAGTTTGACTGTCCCTCTGGTATATCTTTCGTCCCTCTTTTGGGACTTAAATATATTGCAGATAGTTTCGTAATTAAACAGCTTTAGATCTGTTATACGACAATAATACATAAAAAGATCAAAAGTAGGAAAATTAAAAGAGACCACAACAACAAAGACCATCGAGTCCTGTCCATAAATAGTAAAAATAGATGTTTAATCAACAATAAACAACACAAAACCCGGATAGACGGACATTTGGCTCAAAATTTAGTGGGGCTTATCCAGTTTAACATGCAATCCCTCCCTGGCCAGACTTGGTGCAGGCACACAATCCAGTGGGTTAAATCAGTATAACATGCACCCTCCCCAGCCCGACTTTGGCACAATATGTAGCGGTGTATTGCTGTGTGCTTGTTTAATCTACATAAGCTAGAGGTATAGGGGGAGGGTTGAGATCTCACTAAACATGTTTAACACCGCCGCAAATTTTGCTCCTGTCCCAAGTCAGGAGCCTCTGGCCTTTGTTAGTCTTCAAGTTGTATGTTTTTTAATTTTAGTTCATTAATTTTTTTAGGAGTTTAGTATGACGTCCATTTTCACTAAACTAGTACACATTTTTGTTAAGGGGCCAGCTGAAGTGCGCCTTCGGGTGCGGGATTTTCTCTCTGTGTTGAAGACCCATTGGTGGCCTTCGGCTGTTTTGTTTACTCTATGGTCGGGTTGTTGTCTCTTTGAAACATTCCCCATTTCCATTCTCTATTTTAACATGTAACCTTCCAACTTTTTTTAGTCTGTCTTAACTATATTTTACATTAAACAAAACAAGAAAAATAAACTACACAGTGCAGCTTCCAACAGGATTACAACAAGAAAATTAATTTTAAAAATGCGGTCAAAAGTCAAAATTTGCTTGCAGTGGAAAAATGCAACAGCTTGATATTCATTTGAAATAAAATAATTGTAATGATTTACACAACGTTACTTTTTCCAATATAAACATTCAAATTATTTTGTTTTTTGTTGTTTTTGATTAATTTACAACATCTTTACAAAGACCACATTCTGACTTCGAAATTAAGTAGACAATAAAAGCGATGTTCATTATCTTTCTTATGTTGTAAGTTTAACTTGTCATCTCGTAAATATGAAGAAAGGATAGTCCGGTTGTCTTATACGTCAATGAAACACAAAAAAAAAGACAAAAAATAATAAAAGGGGCAACATTCATTCTTCAACAAAAGAATACATCACAAGAATATAAGTTTTGTAAGAAAAAGACCAAATTCTTGAGATGTTGTGGAGGACTTGAATAGCCAAGGCAAACTGATAAATATCTGAATGAATGAATCGATTTATGTAAAAAAAAAACCAAGGTATTAAACAAAAAAATAAAATGATTTTTTAATTATCCGGAACTCTTCACAAACAAACCTACATGTATGCATTGAATGAATAGTAGGCCACTCTTTTAAAATGATTACAACGTAGAAGTACTTATTCTCGTAATCAATAAGATATATTGTGAATTAACCCCATCAACTTAAAGTTTTTTACGATGAATAAACGTATTTTTGTATTATTTAATGATATCAGCTCTGAACATTATTATTCTTTAAAATGAAACTGTTGTATGCGATGTTATAAAAAATATTTAAAACAAATCTTTTAAAGTTTCATTTTATGTATCGAAATGTGTAACAAGTGATCATTATTTAAATCCCCACTGGAAGGCCTCTGATAGACTGAGTGAGCATAAAATCATTGTTATCGATAGCCGATGGCAAAAAAGTTAAAGGTAAATTATTCAGTAGTATTACCAACAAAGGGTTTACGGTTGTCTACGCTGATATGAAAACGATTCTATTTTCCCTCTACCAATGGACCTTGGGAAAACAATCTTTTCTCAATTTAGTAATTTTGGATATAAACTTTTGATGAAAGTCATGATTATATAATATTGATAGGTCATAGATGCAATTGAGAAAAACTTGCAACAACCTATAATATGGCCTGGAATTACTAACATCTATGTATTTACTTCATTATAATTTGACTAGAAAGAAAATTAAACATATGCATTTAAAAGTGATATTTTAACTCAACAGTATACAGGAAAAATAAGAAGCTCACCAGCATGATCTAAGGATGTTAAGCTCACCAACATGACCTAAGGATGTTTGCCTCATGTTTATAGTCAACTATATATATGAGTGCAATAGTTCGTAGTTATGCTTGGACCACAATTTTGTAGGATTTTCTGACTTCCTTCTAGTTATTGGTTTAAATATTTTACAGAGGGATTCATATTGTAAGTTTCTGAAAAGTTTAAACCCTGACATTGATACATGTACCAACAATCTTTTAAAGTTATTATTTTATACAACTTTCAGGAATCACAGTGGCATAGTTGTATTTGGAAAGAATAAAGTTATTACTAAAAGTATTGCAGATAAATTTTATATGGCTTACGGAAATAAGCAGTTGCATCAACAGTTTCAGTAAGTTTAATTGTGATACCGGGTAGATGAAATGGAAAATACATATCTTGTGACTGTTCTATCCCCACACAACAAAGTTTTCGATTGGAACATGATAAAATAATTTGATATGTATCTGTCTATCTGTCTATCCATGTAAACACACTTTGTCAACATAAAACAGACTTAAAGATTTTAGCAAATAACATGAAACATGTACAAATACAAACAAAGAGAGATGTAGGGTGTACTCTAGGAAAAAGGTTCAATTGTCTGTCTATTCATGCAAACACAATATAGACTAAAAGGCTGCAGAAAAAACTATAAAACTTTGTACATTTATGAACACAATGAGATGGGGGTGTACATCAATGAGATAGCAACTGCACAAATAACCAAAATAATAAAAACTCAAGTTTGCTTTGGAGTAGGACTTTATAAGTTTGCAGTATTGATACAAACCATGAATGGCAATCATTTTTGCTGAAATTGCCATTCCATAGTTGTTTCCCTTGAATAATCTCAAAATTACACTTTAGAGAAAAAAGTTTGATTTGTATCTAGTCAGAAATAAATCTGTTAACAGAGGATAACTTTTTTAGCCCGTTATAGTTCACCCCTCCGAACCTATTCTGTGTTGAAACATTTTTTCCATACTACAATTGGCTTGTGTCTCTCCCCTCTACACATCCTATTTATACTGCAATACATGCTTGTATCATTTTTGTCGAGCCTGCAAAATTTATTTCCCGAAAGCGAGATATAGCTATCCTAGACTCCATCGACAGGCGTCTACATTTAGGTTCAGTCTGTGGTTTAATTTTTTTTTATTAGGCATCAATAACTTTGTCAAACCTACATGGATTTTATGAAATTTGGACATTAGCTCGTTTATGACCAAAAGACAGTATCAAGAGCAAAATTTTGATATTATTTATTTTCATTTTTCTGTATTTTATTGATAAATGGACTTAGTTGTTTTTTTTTATTATGCCCCCGCCGTAGCGGAAGGGGCATTAAGTTTTACCCTTGTCCGTCTGTACGTACGTACGTACGTCCCAAAATTGGTTTCCGTTCTCTAACTTTAGTTTGCCTCAACCAAATGTTATGAAATTTATACACAATGCTTATTACCACAAAACACAGATCAAATTTGAATTTTTATGGCATCACTTTTACCGTTCTAGAGTTATGCCCCTTTACAAATGGAAAAATTGCTGAATTTATGGTTTCCGTTCTCTAACTTTAGTTTGCCTCAACCAAATGTTATGAAACTTATACACAATGCTTATTACCACAAAACACAGATCAAATTTGAATTTTGGTGGCGTCACTTAAACTGTTCTAGAGTTATACCCCTTTATAAATGGAAAAATTGCAAAATTTTTATTTTCTTCTAAATATCAAGTAATTTTTAAAATTGGAGTTATCTTCCTTTGTCCATGATTATAGTTGAATCAACTACAATCAATGCTTTATACAATGCAATGTTTGATTTTGACTTCCACTGATAAAACACAGATCAAGTTGAATTTGGGTAGTGTCACTTTAACCATTATTGAGTTATGCCCCTTTATAAATCAAAAGATTGCAAAACGTTTAGATTCCATTCTGTAACTTAAGTTTGCCCCAACCAAACATTATGAAACCTATACACAATATTCATTACCACAAAACTAAGATCAAGTTCAAATTATTGTTTCCGTTTTCTAACTTTAGTTTGCCTCAACCAAATGTTATGAAACTTATACACAATGCTTATTACTACATATATACATAATACAGATTGAGTACGAAATTTGGTGGCGACACTTTTAACATTCTTGAGTTATGTCCCTTTATAAACATAAAAATTGCTGAATTTTTCGTTTCCGTTCTCTAACTTAAGTTTGTCTCAACCAAATGTTATAAAACTTATACACAACCGTTCTAGAGTTATTCTGTTAACATTCAGATTTAGTCTGAGATTTAAGTTTTTCAGTCATCAATAACTTTTTATTTAACCTTCATGGAAATTTATGAAATTTGGACAGAAGCTTGTTTATGACCAAAAGACACTATCCAGAACAAAAGTTTCAAAAAAATATTTACTTTAATTTTTCTGTATTTTACTGATAAATGGACTTAATTTTTTTACAGTTAACAAGTAGATACAGTCTGGTGTTTAAAGTTTGTTACACATCAATTACTTTGTGAAACCTTTATAGAGTTTTATGAAACTTTGGCTGAAGCTTTTGAATGATTAAGAGATAATGTCTGAAGCAAACCTTTGAAAACATATTTTTTCATTTTAGTATTTATCTGATAGAATGATTTTTTCACAGTTAACATTTACAGACAGTCTGGGATTAATTTTTTTTTTCACATGATAAATTTGTAAACCTTCATGGATTGTTATGAAACTTAGGCAGAAACTAATCTTCAAGACCAAGAAATAGAACCTTAAGAAAATGTTTGAATTTTTTTAAATTCTGTATTTTACTGATAAATGGACTCACTTTTTAAGTCAACATCACACTTTTTCACTGACAACAGCAATCAAAGGCGAGACACAGGGTACCACAGAACCCCTTACAAATTTTTAGTTGGGTTGCAACATTCTGTGCGTTCATTATTATTTGCTGGATACCACTTTTTGAAGATTTTGTGGGCATAGGTAAACCACAAATTTAAGTCTTCAATTTTGTACAAATTTTCTATAGGATTGTACATAGCAGGGCTCGACAATAACGCTTGTCCGATTGTCCGGTACCAGAGGAAAAAAAGGTCGGACAAGTAAAAGCCATATCAAGCTTGTCCGATGGGATAAAATAAATTAAATCCAACTTTGATGATCAAAGTAATAAACAAAAACCAAGAAAAGAAGATAAATACAAATGTTAATTTGATGTTTACTTGCAATGATAATTCAAAACTGGTTCTATGTCAGATACTTTATAACAGATAAAATGCATATTATTCTTGGAAACCAGTCTTACAGCCATGTAGATAAGGTATCAAGACAGTTCACACCTGCACCTCCAGAAAAGAATCGGCTCCATGATTAATAGACAGTTCGGCACTGTAGGAGACATTTCGGGACCAAGACAAACCAGTACCTTTGTTTCCCTACCTTATTCTGTTGCTTGATAGTAAATATGATAAGTTTTATTTAACAATAATATTTTTAAAAATAAAAACGAAGAAATTATTGACCATAAAATTCATAAAATCATATTTGATCATATTGCATTTGAATAAACATTTTAACATATTAAAAACAAAGCTGATTGTAGTAAGAAATTAATCATAATAATCAATATTTTATCAACATAAAAGACCAGGATACAAACCAAATGGGTGTAGACTTACAGGCCTAACAGACTATGCCTCATGTGCAGAGTCTGATGAGACTTTGGCATTGATGAAAACTATAACTTAAGTCGGATTAGTCCAGTGACATGACTAGATTCAGTTGTTCTCGACTCATATTTCTAAAAGGATATTAAATTCTTTTCTATTGTTTTAATTCATTTTGTTCATTGAATCAACTTAAAATCCGAAAAGTTAATATTTAGATTTTTTTTTGGACAAGTTACAATTCCATTCGGACAAGTAAGTTTTGGTATGTACTTGTCCTATTGGGCAAGTTGAAAAAAAAGTTATTGTAGAGGCCTGCATAGACTTTGAGAACAAAAATGCAACTTTTGCTCAATCCACGAAAGTAAGTACCCATGAAAAATAAATGAATTCATAGTAGTTTATACTATGATGAATGCTGTCTCGACACTTGGTGTGATAATGCCCCAAATGGTTAAAAACCCTTAATGATTTTGATGTAACTTTGTCAAGCATTTTATAGACTAACCTCTGGTCAAAAATTTTGGTTTACGGTTGACATAATTTGTCTCGCCTATGACAGACATACATGTAGGGATTACAATTCTGCGGTGAAAACTTTTTGTATTAAGCTTTATATTTAGAGGGTAGAATACCTAGAGGCTTCATACCTCTTATGTTACAAAGTTTCCATCTGTCATATATTCATTGTCCTTTACATCATTTTTTATGGTTCAGCGACAGCTTTAACTTTTCAGCTCATCTGGCCAAAAGGCCAAGTGAGCTTTTCTCATCACTTGCTGTCTGTTGTCCGTTGTTATCGTTGTCCATCGTCATCGTCTGTTAATTTTTACAAAAATCATCTCCTCTGAACCTAATGGGCCAAATTTAACCAAACTTTATAGCCACAATCATTATTAGGGTATTTAGTTTAAAAATCTGTCTGATGCACCCCGCCTGTCAACCAAGATGTCTGACATTGCTAAAAATAGAACATAGGGGTAAATTGCAAGTTTTACCTTTTTTTTTATGAAAACTGCTGTAAATAGAGAAAATCTGACAGTAGCAAAAATTTTCAAAATGTTCAGGATCTACAATTAAGTTTACATAACTGACATCATTAGTCGACTCCTTATTGAAGTTATTGCCCTTCAATGACAATTTTCCCCATTTTTCCATATTTTTGCCTATTATTTTTAAAACTGTAATAGATAGATAGAAACTTTAAAGAGCACAAATGATCAGGAAGACAAGATCTACAAATCTCCAGTTAACTCGTTATTTGAGTTATTGCCCTTGAATGATAATTAAGTCTATTATAATCCTGTTCGTCATGTCCCAAACATTTGAATGATATATAGGGTCAGTCCCCAGGGGTTACCCCACCACCACTGTTCTAATATCTTGTAAATGGTCGAGATCCCCACCCCTAAACCATATATATTCCTGTTTGTCATGTCTCAAACATTTGAATGATATACAGGGTCAGTCCCCAGGGGTTCCCCCACCACCAATGTTCTAATATCTTGTAAATGGTTGAGATCCCCACCCCTAAACTATATATATTCCTGTTCGTCATGTCTCGAAGATTTGAATGATATACAGGGTCAGTCTCCAGGTGTCACTAATGCATATCACTTTACTGGACCAAACCAATTTTTACTGGACTTTGCCCAATGTCAGGCGACCCAGGGAATGACGAATTATGGGAGCTTTGTTTGAGAGACTTCATAACAACATCCTGTTACAATCATTTCTTGTTATTTTTACATTTTTATAGATATAAGAAGATGTGGTATGAGTGCCAATGAGACAACTCTCCATCCAAGTCACAATTTGTAAAAGTAAACCATTATAGGTCAAAGTACGGTCTTCAACACGGAGCCTTGGCTCACACCGAACAGCAAGCTATAAAGGGCCCCAAAAATTACTAGTGTAAAACCATTCAAACAGGAAAACCAACGGTCTAATCTATATAAAAAACAATTATTGTTTGCCAAGCTATTATCGTGAAGACTATAATAGATAAATAGAAACTTTAAAAAGGAAAAATTATCAGCAGGATAAGATCTACAAATATGTCTGAAATTGTCAGTTAACTCTTTATACTAAATGTTATTCATCTTTAATGATTTTTACTAAAAGTGGTCATTGTTGAAGATGCAGGTGAGCAACACAGGCTCTTTTGAGCCTCTAGTTTTAGTTTTTTTGTCATGTGAATTTCTCACTTATTATAAGTAATGGATAAGTATACTTAGTATGTGGGTTCCTTGCAAGGTCTACATGTCCATCAGACAGGGTTCAGCTGACCTTGACCTCATTCATGGATATGTGATCAAGGTTAAAGTTATGTGATTAGGTCCTTTTCTCAGATACTGTAAGCAGTAAGTCAACTATATTTGGTGTATAGAATGATTGGAAGGTGTGCATGTTAGTCTGGCAGGTTTCATCTGCTCTTGACCTCATATTCACAGTTCATTGGTCAATGTTAAGTTTTTGTATTTTGGTCTAATTTTCTAATACAATGTACAATAAGCAATAGGTCAATTATATTTGGTGTATGGAATGATTGTAAGGTGTACATGTCTTTCTGGCAGGGTTCATCGGACCTTGACCTAATTTTCATGGTTTATTGGTCAATATTAAGTTTGGTCAATGTTTATTAGATACTATAAGCGATAAGGTCAACTATATTTGATGCATGGAATGATTGTCAGGTGTACATTTCTGTCTGGCAGGGTTCATCTGACCTTGATCTCATTGTCATGGTTCATTGGTCAATATTAAGTTTTCATAGTTTGGTCTGTTTCTCATATACTACATGCAATAGGTCAACTATATTTTGTGTAGGGAATGATTGTAAGGTGTACATGTCTTAACAAATTTGTGGCTTGGTTTACGGACCTTGACCTTATTTCCATGGATCATTAATAATGTTAAGTTTATGTTATTGTCCCCTGCGTAATGCGTTGTGGGGGACATGGAAATACTGTGTGTCCAAGTGTCTGTCCGTGTGTCTGTCCGTCCGTCGGTCCGGTCTTGTTAGCGCTCTCACAGCTACAATTCTTGCCTGATTTTCATAAAACTTATACTATAGGTTAATATCAGCAATATCTCGGACAAGTTTTATAATGGTGGCTGATCGACTTTTTTCAAAAGAGTCATGACCCTTGGAAATATTAAATTTATGGAAAATTGCCTCGTTAGCGCTCTCATGGGTTCAATTTTTTATAAAACTTATATTTAGTAAAGTATAAACTTTTTTGTCCCCCACACACGCCTTTTATTTATGAATTGTTTTATAGAACAAGAAATTAGTTATTGCCCCTGAATAGATAAAATATGTGCAAGGCGGGGGACATTGGAACTCTGTTCTTTTATTCTTGTAGTAAAACTTATCTTTAGACTATCAAAATATAAAATCAGTCATAGTTAGTTAAGCAGGTGAGACATTTTGTGTGTGCACTCTTGTTTAGCCATTTGTCTTACCTTCATCAAACTTCGCTTGGAAATGGCGCTTGTAAAAACACGACTGCTCTTGATTTTTGAGTCATCAGGTCAAAGGTATAGGTCACAATGCCTATGAATTGTTCGATATTTGCCCCCAAAAAAAATTTTCCAGACAATATCTTATGATCCCGTAACTAAATTTTTATTTTGGTGAATTATGCTCATTAGAATGTGAAAAACAATTTGTTTTCTGTTGCCAAAGGTTCAAGATTCACAATGAATTTGACATTAATAGTTAGACAACCATATGAAGGAATAGAGCATTCTGGTAGTTCCATGTATTAATTAACTATATTTGGATTTTAGTTTGCTATGTATTGGGAATTCTGAGAACCTGTCAGAAGAGATTAAACAAATATTTCTGAAAAAGAAAGAGATTCAGGGTAAACTTGAGGTATTTATGAAATCAAGCTATTGATTACGATTAAAATTTTACAAACTGAGCCAATTTTCATGCAATAGGTCAATTCTATTTGGTATACTATTAAGAGCTGTTTTTAAAAATGTCACTAGACAGAATATTACACAGGTGGAACTTTGATCTATATTTGGTAGAGGCCATCTGAAGCAAGCAGTTTCACTTAGCAAGAATGATTTTAGTGGGTACTGATAGATTATTACAGTAGTAAGCTAAATAGACAAAAGCCAAAGTTAACCTTATGTGGGTTTTGCGTTTCTTTTATGTCCTTTTTGGAAATATAACTTCTCAAATATTCAAGTAATTCTACATCCCTGGCTTTCAAAAGTTTTGTTTTGTGTTCTTAAGTACATAAAGTTTATAAAATAATTTTTACAAGTAAAACAGTTCAAATATATTAAGTTCCATAATACATTCTTGGTGAGAAAATAATTTTAGATATTTTGGCAGGTAATGATTTGAAGTATAAATGTATATTAGATAATTCAAAATTTCTTATGAAATGAAATTACCTGCAGACATCATGACAGATGGTCAGACATTAATTGTATATAATCAGATTTTCCAAGAGAATCAAGTAAATCGTAATGAAATCATGGTTGATAAATATTTAAATACTCATTTCTGTACAACTTCTTATGCACCGAAAATAAGGTTAAATGTTTGACACACTTTTTGTATGTGATTTCAGTTGCCATATATGTGAACAAATATGAATCATAGGATCAACCCGTTTCAAAAAAATGAATTTTCTAATTGTATTTGGCATGTATCTGGATAAGTATTAACATCAGATCAACCACATTCAAATCTCCATTGTCCAACTAACGTACATAATGATACTCGAACAAATTTCCCCAAAAACAATATGATTAAAATACAGATCCTGCATCTAATCTTTGCTTACAAGGATCTGACAAAGAGTTCCTTCCCTTATTGGCATTATATTTGAGCCATGTTCAAATAAATCTTGATCAGAAGGATCCCTAGGTCAGATAATGATTCATCTTTTTTAGAAATTAAAAAAAAGTGAATGTGATTTCAGATGATAAAATGTTAAATTTTGTAACCTTTCCAACTCTCTTTACCTTTAGTTTTGACAGAAGGCAAAAGTCTGCCCACTTGTGTCCAACCAACTATCAAAATGAAATAAAGTTGACTTTTCTGATATGTCAAGACTCAACTCATTTTAGACCTTTGAAATTTGTAGGTTTGTCAATTTTGTCTAATATAAGAACTTGAGCACAGGAAATATCAAATATTGAATACTTCAGTACTTATTTTGAAACAGAGTCAACCTTGATGATATAATGTATTGAAATAGTTGGTGAACATACATAACTAGTATGATAATCAAAGTACGAAATGAGTTATTTGAATTAAGTTGTGAATTTCTGAAGATTTTTTAACTAGAGCTTAGAATTTATTTATAGCATATGAAATATTGTACAAGTAAATGAAAATAACACTTTATAAGTTTGGTGCATTTGACGGATTTACCTTCATATTGTTACAAAATAAATTCTTTTTACATTTTATATAGCCTATAGAGGTTAACAAATTGTCAGTGAGTGAAAGGAAAAAAGGACAAGGTATGATATGCACCTACAAGACAAGAATACTGTCAAAAAGACTGGAAAGTGGATTTGTTGAACTAATGACTAACACGTGTAAGTAGAAAGTAAAATGTGATTCATAGATTTATATTGTCATATGCTGAACCACTGCAATACAAGTCTCTGTCTATCTATCCATCCATCCGTAACACATTATTCTCTCTTGATCTGTTTTTTAGAAAGCTTTCATGCTTGGAAGGATCTATTGTCATAAGGTGACCATATTCTACTGCTATTTTGATTTGACAATATTTGCGTCAATAATTAGTTATAGAAAAAAAAACAAAGACCCCCATTCAGTCATTTGTAGGACTATCCTTTATATTTGCATTAATTAAGGTTTTGAAGGAAAATGGTAAACAGTTTGGCAACAAATGTGTAGAAGTCTTTTAGACTAATTTTTTCTCAATCAATTATCTACCTTGAATGAGCTATTTGTAATGTGGTGAATCATTTCCAAGATTAATTGCTCTGCTCAACATTGTTACAAGCATCATGCCTTTCAAGCATAAAAATGATGATGCATACAATCTTGATATTATCCTGAATTCGTATTAGTACTGAAAACAAACATATTATACAACATTCAGATATATATATGCTGAACTGATAACTATCACATGAAAGTGTATAAATTCTAATAACATGTGAAAATATCACCAATGATCCTAAATATACATATATCCTAGTTGAACAATTAGTTAACATGTTTAACTAGTAAAAAGTAGTTTAACCTACATTTGTAACTTAAACATGTTAAAAGTGTTGAATCTATTGATATTTCCAACAAAAAAGTCAGAGCAAATGCATTATTTTGCTGATTTACCCAAGTTCTTTTATTGATTTGACTTTAAACTTATTAAAAATAGTTTCAACTAATATACATGCATGTAGCACCAAGGATATCTTTCATATTAACAATTTAATGCTGTGGATATTATATAATAATTGAAAAGTTTTTTAAGTATGGCATTTAGTCACTGTAATGTTCAATTTCAAGAAGGTAACAGCAATGTTTTTATTTTGACCCTGTTAATGAAACAAATTCAGGGAAATCAGCCATGTCTGTTGATCAAGAAAGTAGGTACCAAATTGAAACAGTTATGACAGAACAAGAGATTGTCAACCATCATTTTATATACTCATATACTCTATCAAGAAAACGAGGGCTATAATCAAAACTGATGACAAATTTAAAGATACCAGAGGTGTACTACAAGTTTTTAATAACACTATTTGTTATATTTCTCAACATGTGTCCAAAAAAAAGATGTTCGAAGATGGCTAAAAACTGGATTTTAAATTGAATTTGGCATATTTTGAGGATTTAAAAAAAGAAGAACGAGAAGGATATTTTTGCCACGGAAAAAGCTGTTGGCTTCAATAAGAATTGTTTGCCTTTAAATAAGATGAATGCAAAAAATAATACTATTGGAATAGATATTTATAAGATATATAAGTGGATATGCTTGTAAATAATATATGAACCTCTTGTTAGAGTTAGCCTATTTTTTTTAATTTATCTGCTTAAAATGAGCTAAAAGTTTAGTTCAATATTGTCTGGAGAATTTTTATGTGACATTTTCATGTAGGTTTGTAATACATGTAGATTTTCAGTGTGCATGATTATTGAGTTTGTGCAAAATAGTTTCATGATTCACATTTTTTTGTCTTGTAGCAAAATGGGATTGTTGTGAACTGTTAATGACTCAGAATTTAGCACCAATTCTAGGAGACAACACATACTCCAATAGAGTCGCACCTTTACTTGGGCAGTTAGTGTGTGTAGACCCAGAACTAGCTGATAAAGGACCACAGGTATATGTTTTGCATTTATATTATTTTTTTTTTGTGACAATGATATATACAAATTAATGTATGATAGTTTTGCATACTGGATAAACTGTATGTAGATTTTGTGAATGCATTTCAGGTATCATTGACTTTTATATATTTTATACATATAAATCATATTCTTACCTGGTTTTGCTTTTTGTCATCACCTGAATCACTACATTTGTTGTATTTTATTTCGTAGCAAATCATTCAATTATTTTTTTTGTATCATTTACTCTTATTAATTTTATTTCATTGTTTTTTTTTCAGAAATTGCCAAAAGAAGTTTCAGACCAGCTAGGAATAAGCACTGAAAACATGCTTAAAATGCCACTGCATTTACATAGATCTAGAGTAGAACTTTTGAAATTTCCCACAAAGAAATCTGAGCCAATGACTTTCTTTGCTGATTTACCAGAGTACTTTAAGACCACTTTAGAATTATTAAAGCTAGATGTAACTTGAATGCCAGTATTATTTATTTTATGTGCATAATGCAATGGTTTGGGCCAATGTAAACTTTTTGCCATCTTTGTATAGAAAAAGTCTAGTAAATGTCACGGTGGATGTATTATCGGTAACTTTATATTCAATGCAAATACTTTATGCATAGAAGAAAAATAAGCTAACAATTAACTAGCCTGCATGATCTGAAAGCTATAGAAAATTTTGATTGCCATTGTACAAGAGGAGTTTTTTTTTTAATTAGGTGAGAAGTTTTGATGACAACAATTTATATGTAGGCCCCTCCAGAGTTTATGCTCTGGTACTTAATCATACTGGGATCTTTGCATCCCTCCTTCATCTGTCTTAGACTGAATGACCTCAATCAAATTGAATGTATGAGTCAAGAATTAATGTCAAAACAATAAACCGCACTAAAATGTGATTAATTAACTTAAAGAGATTGCAACCTTCAACAATAAGGAGATACTTTAACTTTATAGTGACATCAAAAATAATGTCTAGTACAATAACAGTCAGGATGGAAATGAATTATGTATAAAAAGGAGAAAAGAAAAAAATACAAAATTAAAGAGCCTCTGATGAAATACACTGATTACTTCAAAATGGACAAACACACAACCATATGGCAGGATCAAGTTACTGAGATAGTTAAACAAATTAAAAATATGGAGATATGGTATGATTCACAATGAGACAACTATCCACCAGAGTTCACATGAAGTGGATGAAGTAATTGTAGGCAACCATACAGCCTTCAACAGTGAGAAACCCATACTATATTGTCGGCTATGAAAATCCCAGACATAAAAAATGTGAAAGAATTCAAACGAAAAAACCAACAGCCTTATTTATAACAAAAAGAATAACAAATATGACCGACATGAACCAACGACAACAACTGAACTACAGGCTCCTGACTTGGGACAGACACATAAAGAATGTGGCAGGGTTCAACATGTTTGTGAGTGCTCAACCCTCCAATTGGTAGCAATTGGCTTAACTCAAAAGATTGGTACGAGGCACAAAAACAACTAACATAAAAAACTATAGTTCATTTAAATTCATGTTGAAAAGTTTTGTTCATTTCTTTCTCATGAATATTCCTTCTTTTCCATTAAAATGTTTTCTTACAACAGCAGCTGTACACGAGTATTGGCAGTACACTATAGAGACAATATGGAGTATAGTTGACGCTGTGTGGATTATTTTGTTGAATCTTACTCCTACAGGAATTGCTAATGTTATATTTTGTTACAAAAACATCATTAATCTTACCTGGTATCAACAGACATGAATAAGGGTACATTTTGGATAAGATCTCAGGATATGCAAAAGGTATTGTGCACCTCAGATAAAAACAGGTAAAATGATTTTTTTGTCTATATGAATGAGTGGTATCATGTTGCTTGTATGGAGTACATTGTTGCATGTTTTGAAACTTTAATACTTCTTGTATGCCTATCTGATAAGAAATAATATGTGTATGATAAATTGCATATCAGTCCATCTTGCCTACTGAAAAATATGTTTTTAGAAGATTTCCATCAAACAGATGATGTTGAATGCTGGTCTAATGATTCCTATACCTGTTTTATTTTCTTTATTTATGTTGTTCCAGAAAAAAGTTCAGATTGTTTTATGATTAATTTTAAAGGTAGACAATTCTTGCATAAAAATTAAAGCAGTCATGATTGACTTTTCATAATTTGAAATAATCCATAATACAACTACCAAAGTTGTAATTTAATTGACAAAAAGTAGGCCTGTTTTAAACTAGAGTATACTTTGGTGGGTATCCTCCTTCAATCTTACGAATGTGAAAATTGACAATGACAAAAAAATCAATTTGAACAGCAAGGGGCAAGAAATAAAGTTTTACAGGAACAATCCTGCTGAAAACAATAATTTATATGACAATTACGTCTTGAAATAACATTCGATGTAATTTTAGCTCAAAGGGCCAGTGTGAGCGCTATTGCTATTCTTTCACATCCATTGTCTGTTAAATTTTACAATTATCTACACTGAAAATTCTGGGCAAAATAGAACCAAATGTGGTCTAATTTATACTTGCTTAGTTTTAAAAATGTGTTCGGTAATCTGGCATGCCAACCAACATGGTTCAAAATAGAACATAGGGGTAAAATGTAAGAACTGTCTATTGCAAGTATCTTGTAACCCTTAAAGATAAAAATTTGACCAGACAAATGTTTAGAATGATGAGATCTACTTGCATTCCATTTAGAACAAAACTGTCAGAAGACCCCTTACAGGAGTTATTACCCTTAAATGAAGATTTATAATTTATTTTTCGTTTTGCCTATTATCTTGAGAAGTATAATAGAGGAAAACTTCAGACAACAAAAGTAATCAGAAAGGCAAAATCTACAAAAAATTCGTAAGGGTTCCGCGGAACCCAGTGTCTCGCCTACTTTTGGTGTTAATCGCAGGCTCAACAAAAATGAGGAAAAAAATTAATAAAAATATTCCTCTCTATACTATCTTTTGATTGTAAGAAGCTTCTGTCCAAGTTTGGTAAAAATCCAGGATAATTTATGAATCTAATAAATGTTTTAAAAACTTAAACTGCAGAATGTATGTACTGTTGACTGGAAGAAAAACTTAAGTCCATTTATAAGTAAAATACAGAAAAAATGGAACAAAATTTTATCAAAATTTCCTTCTAGATACTAGCTTTTGATCATAAACAAGCTTCTGTCCAAGTGTGGTACAAATCCAGGATAGTTTAAGAAAGTTGTTAAAATTTTAAAAACTTTAACCACAGAGTGAATGTAATGTTAACTGGAAGAAAAACTAAGTCCATTTATAAGTAAAATACGAAAAAAATGGAATTTTTTTTTTACAAAATTTACTTTGGATACTATCTTATGATCATAAACAAGCTTCTTTCCAAGTTTGGTAGAAATCCAGGATAGTTTAAGAAAGTTATTAAAATTTCAAAAACTTTAACCACAGAGTGAATGTAATGTTTCCTGGCAGAAAAACTAAGTCCACTTATAAGTAAAATACGGAAAAAATGGAATTTTTTTTTTACAAAATTTACTTTTGAATATAATCTTATGATCATAAACAAGCTTCTGTCCAAGTTTGGTAGAAATCTAGGATAGTTTAAGAAAGTTATTAAAATTTCAAAAACTTTAACCACAGAGTGAATGTAATGTTTCCTGGCAGAAAAACTAAGTCCACTTATAAGTAAAATACGGAAAAAATGGAATTTTTTTTTTACAAAATTTACTTTTGAATATAATCTTATGATCATAAACAAGCTTCTGTCCAAGTTTGGTAGAAATCCAGGATAGTTTAAGAAAGTTATTAAAATTTCAAAAACTTTAACCACAGAGTGAATATTTGTGGACGCCGCCGACGACGACGACGACGACGACGACGACGACGCCGACGGAATGTAGGATCGCTATGTCTCGCTTTTTCGACAAAAGTCGAAGGCTCGACAAAAAGCAACATGCCTGAAATCGTCAATTGACTCTTCAAGGGAGATATTGCACTTAATTGACGATTTTACCATTTTTTTTATATTGAAAACTATATTAAATAAAGAGAAACTTAAAAAGCAAAAATGATAAGTAGGACAATATCTTCAAATAAGCCAACAGGGCAAAAATTTTCAGTCGACTCCGTATAGGAATGATTGCCCTTAAATGACGACTTTTACCATTGTTTTGCGTTTTTTTTCCTGTTATCTTGAAAACTATAATAGAAAGAGCGAAACTCTTCAAAGCAAAAATGATCAGCAAGACAATATAATACCACGTCGTCAGTCCACTCATTTTAGGAGTTGCGGTCCTTAAATGACAACATTTTTCAATTTTGCCTATTACCTTGAAAACTATGATATTTATAAGAGAAACTTTTAAAAAAGCTAAATTGATTAGCAAAGACCAGATCTTTACAAAACTACAGCTCTTTGATAAAACCTTGGACTAATACATTTATATATATCGATCCTAGATAAAACTTAATTTCATAACAGGCGGATTTAAGCAGCTTTTTTAATTTGTGAGTCAATCAGTAAAAATGTCTCTGCGAAAATGAAACCAATTTGCCAAATATAAAACCAAATTATAAGTAACCATTACAAAAAGTATACACACACACATACTTTTAATATATATTGAACATGACTTCAGAGCGGAACTGAAAATTCGGTATCTTTGTCCACCTTTACACCAATTGGAATTCATTATATATGTATACGCATGCAGTAGATCTTAAATCTTAACAAAAAAGTTCATCTCTACAAATCTGAAATGATACTGTTATTTCATCAAGTTCGATCATACCAATAAAGAAATTTGTTGGACAAGTTCGTAATGAATTAGTCTGATCTTTACTAGATTTCCAATAACATTGTATGAATTTGGCTACAAATGTAATCTAGACTTTGTTTAGCGGTGACTGATGATCATTTTAAGCTTTGACATTGCTTTCAAATGAGCGATGCGTCTATTGATTCGGTGTAACTAGTTATAAAAGTGATGTCAATTTAAGGAATAGTAGTGGTGGTGTCTGATATTGCACGAGGGTGTCAAAGAGGTTAATCCGTCTTAAGTTGTACATCCCAAAAGACTAACATATCACAACTCATTAATGAGTGTATGTGTAATTAAATGAATATCCATGTCAGCTTGTTAAGTGAGTGGGCCATAGAATTATCAGAGGCGTGGGAACCTCCCACTTTTTGGAAAACAAAATATTGAAAATGACAAAAGAAAGACACTGACTAACTTCTAGAGATGTAAAAACCTACAAAACTGAAAAGAGAAGAATCTACATGTACATCATACACATTAAATAATTTACAAATGTTTTACTCATACTCTATAAATTAAATCAAAACATTATTCGGCACTTGTTGTTGAAGACACTTTTGATACAATGTTGAAAATTTAAGTTGGTTTTTGTAAACTTGAAAAAAATCAATAAATGACAGACACCCTTTACTGACATAATTCGATTTGTATCAGAGAAACAAAACATATCTTTACTTTCAGTTGAATTCATGTTTGGCTATGAATGTCCTTGTTATTTATTTTTGTGATGTTTACTCAAAATTTTCCATGAACTACCAAAATTTTAGGCATTTAGAATTTAGTAACATGTTTAGAGAATTACAATAATTGTTTTAGTACCTCGCACATAAGAAGCTTTTTTATGTTTGGAAGACCTAAAACATTTCCTTGGTGTGAAATAACTTCAGGCAATACCTCTTGTTCCCTCTAGTCAATTTCCAATTGCACTGTGTTATTTGAAGTTATAAAAATAAGAAGAAAGTTAATGGAAATTAATTTAAAAAACAAAAAAGAAAACTTTCCAAAAAATCGGATGTAACGGGCAATATGGTCTTGCTATTTAAGTTAAGAAACAGTGCTCTGTATGACATTATAATAATATTTAAGAGAACCATTTGATGTTGAATTCAACATTTCAGGTGGCAGCTCACCGCAAATGTTTCATATATGCACTGAATGCATTATAATTTCTTGGCTTTTATTTTAAGATATTTTCTATTACTAGTATTTTAAAAAGTGCTTAATTGTTCATCTTAAATGTTCTAAGACATAAATTTCATTATAATATTTTTACTTCTATGAATCCTATGTTTCCTTTGATTAATCTTGTATTCATATTCTTCAATGCTCTTCTATAGCCTCTTATCTGTGTTATGATGCTATCAGTAATATATGGGAGAACATGTCAAATATAAACAACATTTATAGTCTAATACAATACTCTGATGTGCATCTTCAAGTTAATTAACTATTTAATGATTCGATCTTTGGTGCATATCGAAATAAAATTTCTTGCTGTCGAGGCTGGTCATTGTCTGAGACATGAGGATTAGTTTTGTTTTAATAACCATATTTGGTGCTAATTCTGGTAAGAATGTTTTCTTTTTAATTATTGAGACAAAGATAAAACGCAACTTATCAATGGCAAATTGCAAGACAATGTTAATCTTGCTAATCTAAGCATACTTATTATGTTTAGGATTTTTTTTAAAAGAAAGGATATGCAATATAAACAGAATGCGCTACCGCAAAATTATGTCATCTTTCAAAAATCATGATTTTGCGGAGCAATTTTTCTAATAAACAAAACAATTAAATAAAACATTGCAGCATAAATTCTTAATATTCAATTAATATGTAGTCAAATATAGGAAACTGATAGGAGTCCAAGAAAATTCTCGAGTAAATTTTCACACATTAATTTGGTTTCGTCCCTTCGTAGCTCTAAAGCGGACGTTTAACATTTTTATATAACACGTAACAGTATTAAGAAACTAACGAGTGTTTAATGGTAGCAGCCAATACTCAGTTTATATTTCTAGCGACCGTACGAATTATGTTTTAAGGTTGCTGTCTCCTTGACGTATTATATCCAATATATCTTTTTTATTCATACTGGTCATCGTATGCCGTTTTAGATATAATTATTTTCAAAGAACTTCTTATTATTATACATTTAGTTAACATGAAAACCCTTGTTGTTTAATGCCGTTTTTTGTGTTTGTAGTGTTTGGATCTGGCTCATTTTGGCAAAAATGGTGGACATATGAAGGAGTTTCTGGTAAGGAGAGATAATGTTCTTCATTTACATTATAATTAATAAAAAAAGATACAAGACTTGCAATGGCTATTGCTTCCCAGTAAGACTGTAAAAAAAAAAATAGACCGGAAGTAAGCTGGAATTTGACTTTATCTTACTTTAAGAATTTGATGTGTATGCAGTGTCTCCTCAACCCAACAGAGTGTTGCTCGCGACGAGTGCAAATCTTGTTATCAATTATAAACGTGGAAAGGTGAGGACAAATATATCATATATTTTTAGCTTACTGTATATGCAATTTCTGAATGGTCAATATTAATTAGAGACTGTTGTGTCGAAATCAATGTGTTCTTTGACCTTTTAGAATCAGATTGTTCAAACTTCTATCATTATGATATAATGGAGATTGCATTTTTGGTAATTATATATATAAACAAAATGGAAATTAGGTGAGTTTTCTTGTATTATATAAAAATAAGGAGACGTAGTGATGCTTGCATCTTTATTATCAAAAAAGCGTGTTCATAGGATACCATGGCCACTTGTACTATTATATGTCCATATTTAATGAACCTGAGAATTTACTAATTTCACATTATCACATTTCTATGTCCAGTATACCATGACATTGGGATCAAACCGCAATTTGGTATACAATTTACAAAGTTAACATCACAATGAACATGTGTACTAAGTTTCAAGTTGATGTGACCACACCTTCATGGTTAACTACATTATCTAAATATTTTACACGATACAGGATGGACAAGCGGACAGACGGACAGATGTACGGTCGCAAAGTAATAAAAACATAATGTCCCTACCGTACTTGGGGCATAAAACATGTATTATTGAGCACTATATTCAGACTTTCTAACAGAGTTAATTAAAAAAATTCATACAAATAGTTTGGTTACAAATCGTCACCACTTATCCATTGTAAGATTATGTACAGGAATTTTATTAAACATGTATGTTTTATGTTAAAGGAGCGGAAAACTGGGGTAAAACAATAGACGAATGGCTGATATGTTCCAATGGAAAATTCCAGTCTCCAATAGACATTAACACAAGTCATCTGTTGTACGATCCTAATCTTGATCCGTTTTATATTATTCCTAGAAAAGTAGGTATAAAGGATAAAATTTGCTAAAATTAGTGTGTCAGTTTGTTTTCGACTGGTGAGTTTGAGTGTCCTTTTTGTTGCTTTCGCCCCTCTTTTAAGAATGAGATACTGATGCAACAGCCTTCTAATTCATTCAGTCATAATTACTTCTACAATGGCATAATACTAATATAAAAGTACAGCAAAAAATGGCATACCAATGGTCTATACTTATTAGGATACCAATACTAAAGTGACATGATACTCATGCAAACGTACATCAAATATCCATTGTCAGTCATTGAGAGATAAGACTTTAAAACATTAAATTGAATTAAGAGGGTAATAATTTGGCATACTAATAGGATGTACTTATTATGATAACAATACAATAATATAAAATTAAAGCAAATATAAATTGTCAGTCATCAGAGGATACTTATTTTGAAATGAACATATACTTGGATTAAAAAAAACTCACATTAGGGGAAAAATATCTTTATCTTTCCTCTTTCTCTCTCTATCTCTGTGAATATTACAAATCGTCAGTTATTGAATGTGTATTGTCAAGTTTATGAATAAAAAACTATTCTTTTTTGTACATTTTGAATAAACTGATTGGTTGATTGTTGTCTGCTTAGCGCCCTGTGGCTTTTGTTTTAAAGCTATGTTTGGTATTATTTCACATCCAGGTAAAACAAAAAGGATCACCAGTTTTGTTTATCATATATTTAATTTTGACACTTCTAACAAACTATTCACAAAGAATGTATTTGAAATGGATGAACTACATGCTTTTGGTAGAAAGTGTTGACGCAATATTCATTTAATTGAATGTCTTGAATTCAAGACCTGAAATACTATATGAAAGACTCTTTATTAATTTAGGTCTCTGGCAACATAACGAACACTGGACGTGGGATTACTGTTGATGTTGAAGATGGTCCCATTGTTTTCTCGGGACCCTTGAAATATAGACACAAAATAACACAACTAAAAGTCCACTTTGGTCGTAATCACAGTAAAGGCTCAGAACATTCCATTGATGGGACAAGTTTTCCAGCAGAGGTTACTTTTTACATATTTAATACATACATATCTATTATATCTATTTTAATAATAAAAATGAGGAATGGAATATCTGTCCTGAGTTACAACCAACATTATGTTAATGAATACGTTTGGATGCGCTGATACAAATGACATTACATGTAAAATTGTCCTAGCTTCTCAAAAGCTTGTGAAGCCAAATGCATAAAGCGTTTGGAAAGAAGGTATTACACATTAGATAAAACCGTATATGGAGTACCTTGCCTTGTCCGTCTGTATATGGAGTACCTTGCCTTGTCCGTCTGTATATGGATTACCCGGCTTTGCCTGAGGAGTTTGCAACCTTAATTTTAGAGTAATTATATAATTAAAAAAAAACCGGAACATTTATATTAAAGACGTATCAATAAAATCATGGCAGATCCAATATAATGTCCATTAGGCAAATGATAGGTACTCTATCATTTAGGAATCAACAGTCTCACAGCAACAGTATTCGCCCAGTGGTATTAATATGAATGTATATTACATAGTTTGTATGAAGCATACAGCAAGATAATTCGGACAACTTGTATCTTTAAACTTCTCATTTTATTTGTTTTTATTTTCAGATACATTTGATAACATATAATGTTGATCTCTATCATAACTTGTCGCAAGCTTTAGATTCATTCCATGGAGTTGCTATCATCGCTATTTTCTGCAAGGTAATCTTTTATTGTAAATTTCAATGAACTCTGCCATACTGGAAGAAGGTGTTTTACAAAGTTTTCTGTAGAAAACTGGTCTATCTTATTTGTTACTTTTGGTGGGTGAGTTGCTTCATATCTATTTAGTTTCCTTATAAGTGTTTTGTTAACTGATGTATTTTTTTCGTCATTTTTCGTTGGACATGGTGTTGTCGATCTTTCATCGACTTATATTTAATTATTGATTGCCCCCTTGTTATTTTATAACTTTTTTGTAAACTTTAGACTATTAGAAAGCTAGCTGGCAATTATTTTCATGAATTCTAAAATTTTGATGTATGTACATAACATTTGTAGATATTATTTGATATGACCTGGACAAATTATTAAGGAAGGTAAAAAGAGTCGATATCAGTCAGTATTCACATTTCAAAATTTGCATATTTCCAGTATGGTGTTCCAAGTAATGAGGCTTTTCAGCTTATGTCAAAATATACAGAGATTGTTAGACTAAAAGGTAATAACAACATTTATGTTTTGTATGGTTTTAAACTTTTGATAACGTAACAAACAACATGTTGCTGTTAAACATTTCTGCTGACCATGCGCTATTTTTGCGTTTCGGAAAATGAACAAGATTATTTTGAAGCCGGGAAAAGGCGCTAATTAAGGCAGGTAAAAGGCTATGATGGTACAATACAAGTATAGCCTGGGTACCAAAATTTCACCTATTTTGCCAGTTTTTTTTCACCTACATTTATTTAAGAAGCAGACAAAAGTTTCCGTTCTGTGTCTATTTTTATAGATGTATCCTTATTTACTAAATAGTTCCACAAATTTTATTTTGAATCCTTACTGAATCATAGAAAAATTGATTTAACCCAACCTCCAAACGATATATCAAAGTTTCTGTAATGAAGAGGGAGTACCTAATGCTTAATCACACAGCTGTAAAAATCGAATAACTGATGATTTGTTTTGTCTCTTCATATTTGGGAACAATTTGACATCGGTCTATGCTTATCATGCAAGAAATGGACGCCTGTAACATATTTTAAATACTCATTTTTAAAAGTCGACTTTTTGTATTTCCTTAAATTTTACTTATTCGCACTGGATACTGCATCTGTTGATATAGAATGTGACCGTTTTGTGAAACTTTAGTATATTTAGCCTGTTAAAAACGTGCATAATAAAAATGATAAAATACTACTGGTTAAGTCTCCAAGAAGCACCTATAAGATTTCAGCCTTCGCATTTTTTTTCTAAAATAGGTGCCTAGGGTATTCTGTGCACCGTGACGTTAGCTGGAATGTCGGTGTAGTATTTCAGTATTAGCTAGACCAGTAGCATGGTCAACCACAAGGTAGACAAAAAAAAATCAACCGTAGTTTTAACTTTGTTGTGGAAAAGTAAAATAAGGGATCGTCTTATGACGATAAAATACCTTACAATCGTTTTAAAAATAATTTCAGCAAATGTTTACTTAACAGGTCAGACGACAACAATATCCGGAATACCATTAGAGATTCTATTTCCCAATACTGACCAGTATGTGACATACCATGGATCACTAACAACACCCGGGTGTTCAGAATATGTCACATGGATTATCCTAAACCGCCCGATCAACGTCAAACAAGAACATGTGCGTATTTCTTATACTAAAGTAAAATCAAATGTAGTCCAAGAAAAAGAAAATTGTGTGCAGACTTTCATTTTATATAAATATGAACCACTTTTAAATACAGAAATTAACAGTGACTGTAAGTCAATGACCTTGATAAGAAATAAAAAAAATCACGGATTATTTTGTACAAAGAGCTTGAATGTTCATTAGTATAAATAAGAAGATGTGGTATGAGTGCCAATGCCAATGAGACAACTATCCATCCAAGTCACTATGTATAAAAAGTTAACAATTATAGGTCAAAGTACGGCCTTCAACACGGAGCCTTGGCTCACACCGAACAGCAAGCTATCAAGGGCCCAAAATGATAGTGTAAAACAATTCAAACGCGAAAACCAACGGTCTAATCTATTAGGTACGTCTGCGGCCGAAAATTTTGAAAAGCAAATTTTAAACGATAAATCACATCTTAGTAAAACAGTCAAAACCTGCAATGCAATAGGTATGTCTGCGGCCGAAAGTTTGAAATGCAAAAAATAAGATCTCATCTTAGTAAAACACTCAAAACCTGCAATGCAATAGGTACATCTGCGGTCGAAAGTTTAAAGTGCAAAAAAGATAAAATCTCATCTTAATAAAACAGTCAAAACCTGCATTACAATAGGTACATCTGCACCGAAAGTTTGAAATGTAAAAAGATGAAATATCATCGTAGCAAAACATTTGAAACCTGAAAAGCAATAGGAACGTCTGCGGCCGAAAGTTTGAAATGCAAAAAAGATATAATCACATCTTAATAAAACAGTCAAAACCTGCATTGAATAGGTACGTCTGCTGTCGAAAGTTTGAAATGCCAAAAGATAAAATCTCATCGTAGAAAAACATTCAAAACCTGCAATGCCATAGGTACGTCTGCTGCCGAAAATTTGAAATGCAAAAGGTAAAATCACATCTTAGCAGAACAGTCATAACCTGCAATAGTAATTTATTTCTGTGAGCGAGTGAACTGCGAAAGGCTTGTGAAAAGTAGCTAAGAAATCAATAAATAAGACTTTGATTTGAAATTATAGATCAATTTACCTTGCATTGTACAAGTACCAAAGCTAGCATTTGTGACATAGGAAAATTATGAATGATGTTTTGTGTTCATGTATTTAACATCATTATATAATATAAATTATGTATACTATGATAGCAACTCTTTCTAACAAGACTAATCAATATAGGTTTGGTAAAGAGGTAGGGTCAGTTTCGCTTGAAATTATTTCACACAAGGGCCAGATTCATAAAGTCTATTAATCTTCGCTTTAATCTTTCAAAGTAACACATCCCGATATGAGTAATTTCAAGGTTCTACAATATTAGACACATATACTGACAGATCAGTTAAATGTAAACGCCTGAAGATATCACAAAAAACTCAATATGGCAGATTTTGGCAGATTTTTAGTATTTTTCTTTAAAAGGTATAAGGAGACATAGTAAACCAAAAACAAATTATGTTGGAAGATAATCATTGTTTTTTTATACAAATTAAATCATTTTGGTAAGCGATATCCTCCGATGTAAAATTTGACAAATAATTTGTATCAAAATGTTTTCAACAGCAACATACTATTATAGAACTAAATTGCATTTTGATTTATGGAATGTATTGAGAAAAAAATCGTGAAACAATTTATTAAGGGAAAGACCATTCTGATCCCCAATTTGATGTAAAAAATATTGTGGTCAAGCAGATAAAAAAAAAAATATTCTGAATCCAGATTGTCCCCATACCTTATAGTGTTAAATTTTGAAAAAAAATAATTTGATTGATAGCGTCGTAAAACGAAAAAACTTTCTGACTCAGACAAAAAACCATACCCCCCCCCCCCCCCCCCCCCCATTTGAAGTTAAATGGTTGCTCCCTAAGCATATGGTATAGAAAATTTCAGCAGGATTTGACAACTTTTAGATTATGTCCCAGTGAGTGAAACAAATACACGGGAAACTGGTCCGACCTCTTTAATTACGATATGTATTTTAATTGAATGCCAAAAAGAAAACATAACTTATTTTTTTTTATTTTTAAAGCTTGACAGATTCCGTCATCTTAGTAAGGGAATACTGGGCGGTCCAGAGGCATACTTAGAACATAATGTAAGGCCAGCTATGCCTTCTTATGACCGGCTTATCAAAACTAATATAAACTTTTATCAAAAGGTATGTCAAGCTATAATTTCTTCATGCTATTTTATTTCATTTTTGAAAATTTGAATAAAGGGTGATATGAGGCCTGGGAATCGTCAATTGGACAGCAATAAAAACAAAATGAATATATCTACGACGTTCACCAGCCCTTATAAAGTGCACAACAATTTAAAACAAATAAGCATATTATGTACATGTTGGAAAGTTTCCAATTACGAAATGCAAATTCTATGTTTTGCATTTGGAAACCAACAAAAAGCATGCAATCTCATAAAAAGCTATACGATTACAGGTGGTATATGAAATGTTTCAATATCTTATTGGAAAGCAATCGCAGGCACACCAACACAGAATTGCAGTTCCTTGCAGCATTAAAAATGTGTGGTCTTATTAAATTAATTTGCTATACAATTTATACACACAGATAACATAATAGGCGATTTTTACTAAAATACTACTTCTAATAAAAATAGATGAAAGAATGTTAAATAAATAGATAATAAAATATTTTTAAACCGAGTTTAAAATATAAAATCACTTGATACTTACACATACATATTTTCTTTTATTCGACTAGTAGAAAAGTAAAGGTCTTTGTACTTATTTTCAAGCCTCTTTAAATATTGTTTGATGGTCGGTACGTTTGTCGTTCCTCTACTTGTATCAACAAATCCTCATAAAGCAATCACTTTAGTTCAATGAAAATTAAAAAGAATTTTAGTTGTCTTATGGCGTTGTATATACATTTCATTTTTTTAATAAAAATGATTTTTCGGGGTTTCTAATAAATGCAAAACACGAATTTGCTATGCTGTACAGAAAGTGATAGGCATGTTGTATCCGCTACACATAAAAACTACGACAGAACTTCAATGAAACTTTCATGTAAATACTTCCATTGTGCAACTTTTATTTTATTTTTTACCCGAGTAAACTTTTTGAGATTTACACATTGAAATGCAAACTTTGTCATTTTCATAAGAAAAAGGGAGTTCCGCTATATAGATGATATCCTCTCATGCACTGAATAAAGTAAAGTTTGGTGACTATGGTGACACAATAGATACAGTGAATTCTACCTCATATCTAGACTAAAATCTAGAAATTGACAAATGAGGGTCGGTTGATAACAAAACTTTACGTTTTTTTCCCCAATTTTCAAAATATTGTATACAGGAAACCCTTATTTGATGAAAAAGAAAAAAACAACAACAGGTACAAGATTGGTAAAATATTATAGTTGTTTTGATTGAGATTATTTATCTCATTATTTTCTATATTTTGAAAAATAAGAAGGAAAGAAATGCCCCATATCTCTTGATCTTTTTTTTAATGAATTAACATTTGATTTTAGACGAGGAAATGCAACATGAAGATTAATACACAGTATGGAAGTAATTATATAGTTTACAAAAATAACTGATATTCTGTTTGCTTCAGTATATTCTTGGACCACAGTTGGATATTTAATAACATGAGGTAAACAAACGGACATAAAAAAATATTTCAGAAAATCTAAATTAATACATATTTGGTTCGAAATAAAAACTTTATGTACTAATGTGTAATTTGCTAGATAAATGTTTTAACAAAAGTAGTTTTGATGTTAAGAAAATGGTGTGTGTGTTTTGGTCATCATCATATTTAACATATCATGTCCTAAATGAATTTTAATCCTGGTATCTTTGATGAGTTTATTTACAACTACTGGGTCGATGCCACTGCTGGTGATCCCCGAGGGTGTCACTAGCCCAGTAGTCAACACTTCTGTGTTGACATGAGTTATCATTGATATGATCATAATTACAAAACTTTTGTATTTTCTATCCCCGGGAATAGATTACCTTAGCTGTATTTGGCAAACATTTCGAAATGTTTAGTCCTCAATGCTCTGCGACTTCGTACTTTATTTGTCCTTTTTAATTTTTTGATTCGTGTGTCACTGATGAGTCTTTATTTGTAGACGAAACGCGCGTCTGTCGTTCATAATTGTAATCCTGTTATCTATGATAGATATAAAAATAAGAAGATGTGATATAATTGCCAATGAGATAACTCTCCACCAGAGACCAAATGACATGGAAGCTAACAACTATAAGTCACTGTACGGCCTTCAACAATGAGCAAAACCCATACCGCATAGTCGGCTATAAAGTTTATTTATCGTTTGAATTATTCATTGTTCATTTAAAAGCTAATGATTAAGAACACACATGCAATGTAACCTGAACTTTATCAAAAGCCTGCTTCGAAGCTTCTCAGGATACTGACAATTGCGAATGAAGAATATGCATGATATTCGTTACGCAAGTCTTGCAATATGTAACATATTTACAGGGACTGTTCTGTTTGTTAAATTATTGAATTGTGCACTTTTTACGTAAAAATCGAGTGAAAATGTGAAATAATATCAATAGAACTGTTTAAAACATTGAAATTTGAAGTACATAATTTTTTTTAGAGAATGTCTTACTATTTTATCCTTCTTTTTCAGTGGGGCTTCTTTACTCGTGAGGCGGTTATGTGAACTAGTAGAAATGACTTGTTCCAAAGAGCAGTCATAGTCAGAAAAAATATGCAAACCATTGTTTATAATAATATGATAATATTAATATTGAATAATTAATTACTATATAATTTATATAACCGTCTGTCTTATTTGTATATTTTTAGTATAATTCTTACAATTATATTAACATGATAAATCATAGTGTACTATATCAGTGTCAACAAGTGAGGTTTTATATACGCAGGCTGTACTAAATTATAAAAGATTTCTATTACTCTTGACTATCAGATAAGTTATTTCTATGAAAACAAAATGGATATAACTGGAATCACGTTTATGTGTGCACTGTTCTCAACTTTTGTTAATATAAATGTTGCTTGTTATGTACAAGAATGGCGAAACCTAACAATGGAAGACATACTATTTAAATCCGATGTTGTAGTTTATGGAAAAGATGTCGAACATGGCAAATTCCGCAGTCCAAATGACGTAGACAGTAGATTTGTAGTCTATTGTGTCCTCAAAGCAGGGAAGTTTCGCATTCCAGAAAATCTTATCATAGAATCAATTGGCGAAGAGGAGTTATGTGCAAATGTTGCCTATCAAACCGAAGTGGGGGAGGAGTACATTATAGGACTAACACCTCAACTCAGTGGGTTTATGAAATATGCAAATGTGTACCCATTGCATTCGTCAGCTTTTCCACCTACTGTTGAAAACCTTCAAATATTAAAAGGCATATGTGAACTTCAGCATTGGAGTGATCCAGAGACCACAAGTCGGGGAAATTGTCCATATTTACCGTCAATAGAAGATGAATGTAAAAGTTTAACCCAGGCCCCGCCCACCACGACACCAGCACCTCCAGAAAGAGATTGGTTTGACCTGATTTTGGATGCTTTTAACAGAGGAACAAATACAAAACTGGACTATTTAAACACAATAATTTTGTCATCCATCAGTTTGATGTATATTTTATTAAAATAAAAGATCTGTGTTTTTTATCTTCTTGATTAGAAGGTGGTGACGATCTTTAAGACAGTCCCCGAATGATCAGGTTGAAAACAAGAAAAGAAAATATCAAAGATAACGTATCTACTAGCTATTGAGCATCATTTAATGTACTTTTCTGAAGTTTTCTTGATTAGAAGGTGGTGACAATCATTAAGACAGTCCCAGAATGATCAGGTCGAAAACAAGAAAAGAAAATATCAAAGATAACGAAGAACTTCTTGATTAGAAGGTGGTGACAATCATTAAGACAGTCCCAGAATGATCAGGTTGAAAACAAGAAAAAAAAATATCAAAGATAACGAACAGCTTCTTGATTAGAAGGTGGTGACAATCATTAAGACAGTCCCAGAATGATCAGGTCGAAAACAAGAAAAGAAAATATCAAAGATAACGATCAACTGTCAATCATCTTTTGGTTAAAAAGATATCTAAAACGACCAAAAAAGTATGATTCTAAAGGTTCAAGTAAAGAAATAATTTAAGGAATTTCAAAACAAATTATGATTTAATAGACTTAGATTTTTGTCGAGTAAGCGACTTAATATCAAGGAACGAGACACAGCGATCCTACATTCCGTCGAAAACATTTAGGCATACATGGTTAAAGTTTTTTTTAGACCACTAACTTTGTCAAACCTTCATAGAATCTTACGAAACTTTGACAGAAGCTTCCAAAAGATTACGAAATAGCATCAGAAGAAAAAAAAAATCGATTTTTACATTTTTTCGGTATTTTACTGATAAAAGGACTTGGTTGCCTTTCCAAATCTGTACCCTTAATGTGGTAATATACACCTTACTAAAATTAATTTGGCTCGTTTAATTTTCATAAAATTTTGACAAAATATTTACTTTAACCTTTGACAAAAATATAAAAATTTCAAAAAACTTGAAACACACTTTATCGGAAAAATTTCATTGGATATATAGCAGTTTGACAAACACTAATTTTGATCATTGAGAAGCTTAATATTTCCTCAACAATAGAGCGTGATTAAAACGTTCAGCTGATTTTTACAGAGTTATCTCCCTGTAGTGTTATGTACCACCTTAGAGGTCATGTCAGCAAGCACCGAGCTTTGAATGGAATGTCAAAAAATACTTTATTTTAATAAAAATTGGTGTTTTAATGATGTGTTGAATGTAATGTAACACAAAAAAGATAAAAATAGTATATATTTTTTTTCAAATCCATTGTTTTCCATGGCAACAAATTTCATTTCCTGAGATACTTGTCAAAATACCACCCCAAAAATAGTAAAATATGTATTTTTCACAATTAAGCAGGAAATCAAAATTGTAATAAAGTAATTTCATAACTCTAATATCGGAAAAAGGACATCTTGTCTTGATATGATTTGCACAGTATTGAGCAATTTAATATTTTTGTAGCGTTGCTATGACAACCTGAAATAGTAGATATGATAATAAGTGAAAATAAGCCAAAATCAAAATTTAGAAAATATGACCTTGACCTTTGACCTTGACCATTTTTATTTTGGAGGATCTAGGACCTGAAATCAAAAGACCCTAGGTCTCTATGACTAAAGTTTTATGAGTTACTATAACATTTCACTAATGTAAGATAAAAAAGGGGAAATAACTCTCATATGGAGTCTACGGAACGCTTTGGTCAAAATTAAACGTAACAATCTGAGGATATATTTGGAAAAATGAATTTGTTATCGCTTTCTCTTGCGGTTGCGAAGGAGATGTCATAACAAGAAAAACAGTGTTCCAGGAGATAACTCTTACAAAGAAAAGTGTTCGGTTAAACAGGGTCAGTTTCAAAAGCGTATAAACTGTACAATATCATATACAAAATATTTAAGCGACATCTTTTGAAACATCAATACAGCGGAAGAAAAAAATTATGTGAAAAAAAAAAAAAAAAAATAATCAGAACAAAAGCAATAGGTCTTTCCACGGAGAAGTGGAAAGACCAAATTATATCAAGGAACAGTACAGTACTATTCAGTTAAAAATATAAGCAAATTCTAACCAAAACAAAAGAATTTCCCTCCAAAAAAGACATATGACTTAATCAACCAATTATCATAGAGAAAACAGAGTTTTCATAACACGAACTAGTAAAACCTAGAGAGTAAACAAATACCCAATCAATCAAAACTCACTGATCATGAGCCATGAGCATATCTTATAATAAATATAACCACTGACTAGAAACTACTCAATAAGTAGTTAAAATTAGAAATTAACTCATCAGATATATAATATCAAAGTATGATACAACCGAAAAACAAAAGTATCGATATTACCATGCTACAACATATACATCATGATGAGATTGATACTTTTTTGTTAGATTAACGTTCAGTGGCAAGCATGTCCTGTATATTCAGGACGCAAACACATAAATAATAAAATCAATATAAAGTGGACCGACCGCGATGGGAAAGAGGTTAATCCAACTCCCTTTAAATTTGTTAAATACACCCAAATATAGTGACAAAATATTACCTCCCCTGTAAACACTGAAAACTTGATCTTTTAAATGTTTGTCATATTTTAACAAGGACGCTATCAATTATACATTCACGGGAAAAGGTTCTGGTAAAAAAACGAAAATAGGAATAAGGTGAAATAAAAACAAAACTTCCATTTAATGTTATCATTTCCTTCTTTAAATAGAAAACGACGAGTACAGCAGATTAAAGGAGCTTGGTGTAAAATTGGTTTAAAATGTTGCTATGCGAATGAATTCCTGGAGAACAAATTTCAATTAATTTTTTTACTGGCTGCAAACCTGTCTGGAACATGCTATTTGTCCGTATATATATGCAGTTAGATCAGAGAGAGTCCGGGAAAAAATTTCAAAGTAATCGATTGATATGCAGCAAAGATTGGCACTTTTGAAATTAAGTTACTAAGCAAATTCAAACAAACCTTATCCCAATGTAAACATTGAATGTGAACAGATCGAGAAGACCGCAAATACTTGTACAAAAATCGAGACGACCTTTTCTTAAAATTGTATAAAAATAGTAAAAGACGCCTACTTTATAAGAATATTTGTCTTTAAATTTTTTAACCTTCACAGACAGACTTGTACATTGTTATATTCACGAAAAAACAATATGTCTATATGGAATTTTCACGTGACATGAGAACGGTGTACTCGAAAACTTAGAATGTGAAAAATAAGAATATTTTGGGAAATTGCAACATGTTAAGGACTTTGTGGAACACTCCAAAAATTGGTGACCCTAAGATCTTTAGATTTTGTATGTACATGATTTTTTCCATTTTTTTTTATCAATATGCAGCAAAGATTGACATTCTTTAAATTTCAGTTTCAGAAGCTTCTAATGCAATTATCTCGATAAATACTGAACATAAAACATCGTCTTTTTTGCATGTATATTTCTAATAACACAGTTTAACAAACAATTTCTTTAAAATGTACAATTATTATTTAGAAATAACTTTTGATCAGTATCTTTCTCGACTCTATCATAAAAAGAGTGAATTTTCTTTTTTTTCCGTTCCTGGATATCGCACTGTTATGAGTGCCAATGAGACAACTCTCCATCCAAGTCACAATGTGAAAAAAGTAAACAATTATAGGTCAAAGTACGGCCTTCAACACGGAGCCTTGGCTCACACCAAACAGCAAGATATAAAGGGCCCCACAATGACTAGTGTAAACAATTCAAACAGGAAAACCAACGGTATAATCTATACAAAAAACGAGTTGGGCCAATTCCTTTTGATTTTTTTCACACCAGTCATCTTTTAAAAGTCTTCCAAACTTCACTTAAATCACAGTGTGAGAGATTCATATGCATACTTTGAGGTTGCAACAGCATAAGTGGGTACTTCTAAAAATGTTAACAAAATGTAAATGCCAAAGAAAGCTCAAAACTGCAGTTTGGTATATTTTAGCAATCTTTACAGTCAGAATTCTACTTCGTCAAAACTATTTCCCCATTACGCCAGCTAATTTTTACAATTACTCCAGCTAATTTTTACAAACCATTGTCGGGGTGACGCGCTGCCAATTTAGCTCTTGAAAACCGATAAATTTATCCACATAGCATCATTACGATCCTTATATGCCAGTTGTATTTTAAAACACAAATGTATCTACTAGCTATTGAGCATCATTTAATGTACTTTTCTGAAGTTAGTCAACTTAAAACTATTGTCTGATCGGTTGTCATGTGGAATTTTTGAAAGTTCAAACACATAAAAAAAATTCTAAGTAAATATTTCGTGGAAGGGCAGACTAAATAATTTCAGAGGTTGAAGACTAATAACCCTAGATAACACACAAAAAAAAATGATTTTTTTTGAAGTTATACATTTTTAAGATCCACTTGTAAAGTCTGTCGTCAAGAACTTTTAGTAAAAAAATGTTATTCGAACACACCTACTCTTTTGTTATGACTCATTAGAAAGGTATTTCACCATCTTCGCTAGCCAAGGGTTACGATCCACTGGGAAGTGGATCGTAACCCTTGGCTAGCGAAGATGGTATTTCACTTGACCCATATATTTCATTTTTTATTACTGTGAATCTTTAATGTTATTAAATCAACCTGTAGCTTATACATATAAAAATAATAGAATCTGAAGCGAGTTGATGTATCAAATATTTTTGCTTTATACGTTTTCCAGACAGAATAGTCAACTCAAACACGCCCGAACATGAAAAGGTGCACTCGACTTTTTCTCTTCGATGAAATTATTGCCCATTTTTAGGATTTTTTCCCAAAAAACTGTTGCCGGGGTAGAAATGCAATTTAATGCTTTAAAAAGATCAATCTATTATCTTTCTGTGGATTTTTTTTCGGGGAATTTATGCTTATGCCCAAACAAGACTCACTTGTATTTGCACATACTACAATCGACTTTTTTATGAAAATTTGTCTATAATTTAAAAGTTTACAAATATCTCGAAGCTCCATACTATAATTTAAGTAAAAACACGTATGTAAGATGCATAAAATCCTAAATTATGCACCTTTATTAAACGCTTAAAGCCCATAGAAACAGATATAAACAATTCAAATATACCAATTTGGCTTTTTTACCTTCTCGAACAAGGAGTTCCATACCTTTTGTTTTAATTTCAACTAGGTATCCGCCTGTTTATTCGTAATATAAGACATAAAGCTTTATTTAAAGTCGGTATATGCAATACAATTACACACATATTAAGCTCAGCTTTTAAACCTGACAAAAACAAAAACACAACAAACAATACAACAGTCATGCACACATACAATTTCAGTTATTTTTTCTTTTACTTTAATGCTTGGATGGTATTCATCAATAATTGTATCTTTTGAGCCGATATCTTTGACAACATTTATAAAAAAAAAGTTATTAAATATTTCAGCAACTTAATTTTGATTTTATTGATTATTTTGTTGCCTTCACATAAGATTAGATTTTTTGAAAATGTGACCCTTTATTGGTTAAGAAGGGCTTGACTGTTGGCCAAAATCCAAAAAACACGTCTTTCCATGAAATAGTTTCTGATGGATTGTTTTTTGTTTTTGTTTTAGTAACCAAATTTCTTTGTTTTCTATAAGATTCCCAATTTGCTGTATTTTTATAACTTTGATATTTGTTATATGCCATCCTTTTTTTTATATTTCCCTGCGTAAAAGTTTGATTCATAAAAGGGGCGGGTCTGTTGATGGATTTCTTTTTTCCATATCAAATGCTGAATTAAGATTTGATGATTCTTCCATCATAGCAGTCTCTTTACAATTTTGCCTTTTTTGAAATATTTGTAGATATTGTTTTGCTGATCATTTTGTAGATCTTGTCCTGCTGATCATTTTTGCTATGAAAAGTTTCTCTTTATCTAATATAGTTTTCAAAATTAAAAGGAAAAACACAAAAATTGGTAAAATCATCAATTAGGGACAATAACTCCTTTAAAGGAAAACTTCGCAAAAAAATAAAAAATTGATATTATGTCCATTCTGTATAAAATAGCACAAATTCATAAATATTAAAGTTTTATTCTGCTAGATAAGAGATCACCATCGATTTTAAATTTAGAGTATCAATTCTCTACGTGCGGCCATTTTGACATCTTCTCGGTTTAGAAACCACGATATATCTATAAACCACAAAGGACCAAAACCAGCAGTAACCTAACGTAGTCGCATTTATCCGACTTACTAACTTGCTACGGAAAATGTAATTATTTTTTTAAATAACTATGGTCTGTCGTTTTTAAACTGTTTTTTTCTTTACGAAGTTTTTGAAACAAGAAATTTATATGGGAATTAGTTAAAAAGTCAAAAGTTCAAAGTCATAAATAAGTGTTCTGTGTAAAATCGTTTTCGAAAATCTAATTTGTTCATAATTCTTTTATGTAATAAACTTATTTAAATAAATTCGGACCTTCTCTTATCTGATCACCAGCATGGCTA